TTAATGCTTTATATTTATTAAATAGCTCTAATACAAAGATGAAAATGGGATACGGTATTTGATACGGTACTTATACAAGCTATACGGTAACCGTAGTTAATAAATTGATTAAATTGATTGATTAATGAGATTTATTTCAGACGTATTCATATAACTGATGCAACATTAAAATGTTTGGGTGATATTTATCAAGTTGAGGATGGTTATGGTGAACAACGTTCAAAATATTTAGCTGAGCATAAAGTTAAGACATATTTCATCGTTGATGATGATAGTAAACATACGGTATGGATTGTAAAACATTTTAAGTATTTAAATTAAAATCAAATAATGAAATAATAAATATACAGTTAGATTAATCAATTGATAACTCTTTTTTTCCAATTTTTTTTTTTTTTTTGTGTTACTATTCTATTTTATAATAATAAATATATTTTAAATTTATTAAAATGTTTCAAAATGATCAGTTATCATTTTTTGATATTCTTCTTAGATATTAATTTATAGGAAATTGCATCACATCGAGATATACCACTTGGTGAGAAAGGCCTTCGGGTAACTGGTTATAGCTATAAAAATGCACAAGTAAGATATTGGGATAATGTAACGACAAGGTCATTCAGTTTTTTTTTTTTCTTCTTGTTTTAATTTTTATTTAATCATTTTTTTCATTTCAAATTTCGTAGTAGTTTTTATTACCATCATATTTTTAACTTTGTTTATGCGAAACTATTAATTATTTTTTTTTTATTAATTAATTATTTGTTGTTTCATTTTAAGATGCAATATAACAAATTATCAAGGATAGTTCTGATAAATCAATTTTAGTGTTTTTTTTTTTAAAAAAAAAAAACTTTTCAATTAATCTAAAACTTATAAATTTATTTAAATCAATTCTGAAGAAATAAATTTAGACATATGCATTAAAATAACATCGGATATTTTAAAATTAATTGAAAATATATTAGATATATTATGAGTATTACAAATCATTAGTATGAAATAATATTATCAGCAAAAATTGTAATCAATATTCATCCAATATTTTTCTTCATGAACAAATAATTCCAGTTTAGGCGATCAATATCATATCATGAACAACAACAACAACAACAACAACAACAACAACAGCAACAACAACAACAACAGTCTGTAGATATTGAAGTTGCAAATTATTTAATGCAAGGTATTCGAGCAATCAGTAAAGATGCCTGGAAAAATATGTATTGTAAAATGATTACATTAAAATTTCGGCGCAAAAAAATGGAAGCTAAGGTATATAAATACTAATCATTGAAAATTTAAGTCTATTATTCATATCCGTTTATTCTACAAATATTTAATTTAATATTTATGCATAAAGTAAATTTTATTCTAAATAAAAGCTTAAAATTTAAAATAATTTAACGAAAAAAAAAATTTGGTTAATAACGGAGAATTTAAGTCTATCATCTGAATACCAAATATATGATTTATTGAAAAAAAGACAAAATGTCTAAGAATTTTCAAAGTATTTCTTTCTTTTTTTGTTATAAATAATTTCATTCCGTAAATTTATTTTTTTTATAAACTTTGTTAAGAAAATTTAATTAATTTTATTTTGAATTGCAAATTTTAATCAAAATTAGAGGCCAAATTATCACTAAATCCACCTTATTATGTGTTCTTTTTTTTTAGTTTATGGAATTCAAAGATGACGCATTTCTTACCCAATTAATGTATGTGGTAGTTGTCGCTGGTCTTCTACTATCCGTTGTACTACTTCTTGAAGATCATAGGTATTTATTAATTTATAATTTAAAATAGCTTTAAAAATTTCAATTCAAAAAGAGACTTAAAAAGAAGAAATATATGAAGGGTTAAAAATTAAAAATAAGTAAAGAAATGCAAAAATTAAGATTGCTTTTAGATATTTAAAAATGCTTTGAAAAATAACATTTAAATTCGATATGAATTTCAAATCTCTACGACAGAAAGTTTAGGAAAAATAAAAAATTGACAGTTAAAAAATAAAAAATTTAAATTCCTTCTTTATTTTTTTCCAAAAATCATAATTAATAAGGAATTTTTTGATTTATTTTATCCTATCACAACCGTTTAGAACTAAAACATTTCCAAATATTGTCATTTCAACAGTTAACCCAAATCAGTCATTCACTTTCTTGTATATAATTAAAATCACCATTAGATTAATTTTTCATAGTCAAATTCTTTACTTATACATTTTTAAAATCTCATCGAATTTAAGTTGAAATTTTTCTTTGCAATTTTTTCCTTTCATGTATTATTTAAATTGATATAATTGCAGCCTATTTATAGTATCTCTCGTTATTATCTTATCATTTTTATCAGCGTTGGTATTATCCATTTCCCTTATTGTTCGCTCATTTATGGTATGAATTTTTGTTCAATTTTTTTTTTTTTTTTAATTGGTTTTTGTTCATTTCGAAAATAATTGACATTTACTATATAACTTCTTTTAAATTCCCATATGGCCAATAATTGACAATTGCAAATTCATAAAAGGATTTGACAGCGGTCACTATAAATTAATGTTTTATGATCATTTAAATATTTGCTTTGCTAATTCAAAAACATTTAAGCATATTCATTGTTTAATTTTATCTTAGCATAACAGCAGATAATTTACAAGTTGTCAATTAAAATAAGGTCATTTTGAATGATATCACTCTTTAAGATACTTATAAAATTAAACTATGAATGAATTTAAATAGCTTTTTTTTTCCAGAAACGAACAAATTTGATTTTATCTACTCTTGCATCTACTTCTCGAGTATTCTCAATAGTCTATCTCTTATCTTTTTTCACTTTGCATCATTTATTTTTATCTGAAAAGAATCAAGAAAATTTTAATTAAGATAATATAATTTAGCAAATTGTTCACATTCAAAAATAATTTTTCAAGGCATAAATTGACGTATAACTTTCGTTTGACGTTTTTTTTTTTTTCCTTCAATATAAGCTTTTAACGTGAATTTCCGTGTGATTTTAGTGGAATTTTTTCAGCGTTGCTGCCAATATAAAACGTATAAAAACAGCTTTCTAAGATTTTTTGCAATATTTGTACTTTTATCATCTGCCATATGTTTCTTTTTCAATCGTTCTGTGGTAAGTTTATGTTTTTTCTTTTCTTATTCTGTGATTTTATGTCGAAACAATGATAGAGAATTATGATAGAGATAGATAATTTCTATCAGTGATATTTTCTGTACTAAAAATAATTATAATAGCAGTAATATAAATAATAAGAATAACAATATTAATATTAAATAATAATAGTAATGATAATAAATAATAATAGTGAAATTATTACGCAAAAATCAATTCTTTCCCTAATATTTCCTCAGATGTTCATTAATTAAGTTAGTTTATTTAATGAATTGAAAAATTTGATTTGATATAATTGAGTGAATTTAATCATATAAACAACTGAAATCAAGGAAAATATATTTTTCAGAGAACCATTAATCTACATGGCACAGAAATATTGCAGTGTTGTAAATAAAATAATCTTATTATTTAATTTTTTTAATAAATAATTAGTTGCCTATTTAATTTGTAAGTAGCAAAATTCAAAATCCAAAATAAAAAAAAATCGTCAAATTTAATTGCAATTAATCTTTGTTATTATGCAAAATTAAACAGTAATAATACAAAAGAGCTATTTTAACTAACAAATGTTAAAAATAAAAATTTGATAACTGAATTAAAATATTTTTGCAGCGTTATTCGCTTGAATGTTCCTATCACTGTAGAAATTCAACAAAAATAATTGCAACAAGTTGTGATCACTCTGTGAATAGTCCAATTTATTTTGAGGTTATTCCAAGAATTCATCCTTTCTTTGCTGTTAAATTTCATTTTTTAATGAAAGATTTCAATAAATTCCTTGATTATCAATTAAATCAATTCAAAATCCATTGTATTTGAATTATATTTCTTTAAAACGAAAGAAAAAACAGAGTAATAAATGAAAGTAATTTATCAGTGTGACAATAAATTTCATTTATCATTGCTATTTTCAGGGTGTTTTACTGTTACTTTTGACAATTTGTATATTTAATTCATTTCTTGCACTAGAAAAAATAGCAGTTTCATTGATGATTTGCTTGGTTATATTACTTTTGATATGGTTAACTGAGTTTCCCAATCACAGTAATTATCAGTTTGCTTTTTGGAGCAATCGAAATTTCTATAATCAAAATATTTCACTAATTGAACAAATGGAAATGCTATGCAGGTAGTTAACATTTCTCTTTTTTTTTTTTTTTTTTTGCTAATTTAAGTATCTTCTTATCATTTTTTCTTTTTTAAATTTTTTTCTTTTTTTTTAAAAAAAAAAACATCTCAATTATTTTTGTTATTTACATTTTATTGAAAAAAGTTAGTGGATCTTTTATCAATTTTTTTTTCAAAAAATTTTAAAATGCTATAAAAATATAAATTAAAGCAATATTTGGCCATTTAGAATTTTTTTTTTTTTTGCTTTAAAATGCTATAAAAATATGAATTAATAAAATTTTTTGGTAAAATTTTTCATATAAGGTAGGCATTCATTTTTTTTTCTAGCAAAGGCTTACTGTTTTAATGTTTTTCATTTTTTCACTTCTTTAAAATGCTTTGGGTTATTTAAACTGGTCATGCCGTAAACAGTTATCAAATTGATAACATCCATAAATCCTAATCACCTCGAATCGATAGTCTCTGAATTAAAGCTCCCCGAATCAAAACTGTCCGAATTTTATTTCTTGCTCATATGTTTGTATTATGTATGAAATGGAAGGATTTATTTTTCGTTTTTAATGAAAGAATGAATTAATTGAAGTGTCGTTTTAATTTATTTGAATTTTATTTGGAAGCTTTCAGGTCACTCCAGTAACTGTAACTTTGAACTTTGATCTATATTAATTAAATAATTTTTGACTTTAACGAATTTATAAAAATAGAATTTACGATAATACACTTTTAATTATAGCCAAATGAGCCTATGGAATGATTTGCGATTATTTTTCACTCTTGTCATTATACTCGTATTCATTTTAATTACAATCCAAAGTCGTCGATCAGAACTGATTGCTCGGTTTGACTTTATTTGGAAGCTTCAGGTGAATGAATTCTTGCAACTTTTAAAGTTGTTAGAAAAATGTTTCTTTTTTTTCGACGTTATTTCGTTGTTGCGCTTTACATTTTTCTATTTCAAAATATTAATTTCTTTTTGGGTTATTATAGGGCTTATCAATATTTATCAGTAAAATATTGATCATATCAAATACAAGTTTTTCAGGCATTAGACGAAGGAAAAGAAATGGAAAAAAGACATGCGCAAAATCGAGCTGTTTTAGAAAATATTTTGCCAGCGCATGTTGCCGAATATTTCCTCAAAGAAAATGAAAGGTTACTGTCTAATTTAAATCTTTGTTATTCAAGAAAAAAAAAACGAAAATTGTTAAGAAACAGATAGCGAATAATTTAAAAAGTATCATATTGATAAAAAATAATTCATGCTAATATTTTATTATTAAAATGCTTCATTGTTTGTATGATGGTTTTATTATTGATATAGAATTAATAATTACTATTAATTACAATCTAATTTCTATTGGAATATGTAATTCCTATTATAAATTATTTATTAACAATGATAAGATGTGAGTATTGTAGGACTGAATTGTACTCAGAAGCTCGAGATAATGCTGCAATAGTATTTATTACAATTACTGAATTTGATAAATTTTATATGGAATTGGATGCTAACAATGAGGGTGTTGAATGTTTACGACTTCTTAATGAGATTATCGCCGACTTTGATATGGTAATAGCATTTTTTAAATTAACTTGTTCATTCATATCAGTAAGATTAATCGAGAAATCATTCATGGATCCATTGCATTTTATGGTTGATATACCGTAATTGAGATTAGCAGCGTAATCGACATTTGCATTACAACAGGATGAAGACATTTGCAATACTGTAGGATGAAGACGTTTGCAATACTGCAGGATGAAGACATTTGCAATACTGCAGGATGAAGACATTTGCAATACTGTAGAATGAAGACGTCTGCAATACTGCAAGATGAAGATGTTTGCAATACTGTAGGATGAGGACGTTTGCTATACTGTAGGATGAAGACATTTGCAGTACTTTAGGATGAAGACGTTTGCAATACTGTAGGAGAAGAAATTTGATGGACTGGAAATGAAATCATTAGTTCAGGTTGCAGTAATCGTCTACTCATATGAGTAGCTCAAATTTGTGTTTCAAATTTAATTATAATGTGATATTATTTAGTTAGAATATCAGAATTAGAAATAGAATTAGTTCAGAAAGTGGTCTTTGTTGTAATATATTAACTTCTCCCTATTCATTGTTTCTTCACCATGAAATATTTTAATTTATAGCAAGAACTGAATTTGAATGAAATGCCTTTACGTCTATTTTATCATCAACAAATTGTTTTCTAGCTTACACGTAATTTTTGTATGTTTAGCAAAAAAATGCATAGGGCTACAGTAATCTATCCGTGATACTGTAAACACCACCGTAACTCTCAAGATTATGTTTTATTCACCTTTGCTAACTATCATTTCTTAAAATTTAACAAAAAATTGAAATTCCAGCAACTCAGTCGTGATGAGTTTAAATGCATTGAAAAGATCAAAACAATCTCGACTACATATATGGCAGCATCAGGCTTATTTGGTATAGTAACCGGTTATTCACATGTTGTCGCCGTTGTATTATTTGCTATTCGTCTTTTAGCCCTTATACAATATATCAATGAACATTCGTTTAATAATTTTAATCTTAGGATAGGTAATAATTTACCTTTGTTTTTCTTTTTTTTCCCTTTGATTTTAATTTTAAGCTTTATGTATTAGTTTTTGATAAGTATAATTTAATAAATTAGCCAAATATTATCAAATTATAGGCATTTTTCTTTTCTTTTAAAATCTTTATTTAGCTTGAAATATTTTTGGAGAATTTTGTCGTCAAAATTACTTGAAAAAAAGTTTGTCCTAAATGCAATGCCGTCAAACATAAAAGAAAAACATTCTATTTATGTTAGCAAAATCTTCTGAAATATGAACTAGACTTTGAAAAGGTCATCTTTGTCCATCATAGCATTTGAATACGTCATTCATTATCCTTAATTATTTACCAATATTTGTGTAAGAAGTTCATCGTACCATCTGAATACATCACTCATTATTTTTTAATTGAAATAATTTCGGTAGATATTTGAAGTAAACTATAGCTTTTATTATAATAATTGTTTAAATGATTATCTATTAATTACTGTAATGTATTTTTACAAACTTACCTTTACCTTTATTAGAGAAGAGATGATATTCTATTTTAAGGGATTAATGTTGGTCCGGTGGTAGCAGGTGTTATTGGTGTCAAGAAGCCACATTATGATATTTGGGGTAACTCGGTCAACGTTGCTAGCAGAATGGATAGTTCTGGTGTAGCGGGCAAAATACAAGTAAGCAATAATGTTAGAAGAGTTCTATCAATTTTCTATTCTAATTTTTTCAAAATTCATGTGTATATACCTAACATAAAAATTTGAATTAAAGATGGTTGGGAGATAGTGAAAAAAGATTTGAAGTAACTTACATACAAATAATTTAAAAAAAACTATTATGAAAATCTTTTAAATTTTGAAACTTTTCTCAAATTTTAGATAACGGAAGAAACGAAAAATATCTTAGAAAAAGAAGGCTTCGAGTTTGAATGCCGTGGAATAATTAATGTAAAAGGTAAAGGTGACATGAAGACATACTTCATTAAAGTATCAGAAGAAGACTTGAATTTTGATTTTAATAAGATCTGAAATTTTAATTTCACGACTGCAAATCCTGCTTGGGTTTGACCTTTTATATTATTATTATTATTATGTATCGACAGTGGATTATTTTGTACATATAATCATTTTTTCCATGTGAGAAGTATTTATAAAACGTATATATATCATATATATATATGAATTTAATTAAATTCAAATAAATGCCAAACACTACTAAGCATCAATATTTTCTTCAAAAAAGGTCGGTAACATTAGTGGTTTAATTTTTAATTTGCTTGAATTTTGTTTCTCGATTATGCTATTGATTGCATGGCATTGTTTATTTGTTTGTTTTTTTTTTTAAGAAATTTTATCTGATTCATAAAAACAATTTCTATAATTTAAAAAAAAAAATAATTTCCGCAATTATTATTTAGAAAAATACGATAGATAATTTTTCAGTAACAAATGAAAGAGCTTATTTGGTAATTAAATATTTAAATAATGATCTATAAATAAAACTACTTGTAAACTAAAGAACTTTTAATAGACTAAGATAAAAATACCATTGGAAAGTGAAATATATTTAATCTGGCTTAACGTGAATGTATATATTGATACGTTTAAGCATATAATACGTACAAAAACGTGTACACGTGACACGCACAAAGATCCTGTGCATGTGATAAATATAAAAATATTTACATACCACTTTATTGTTGTTCGCACCAATAAAAAAAAGCATAATAAACGCTGATAATTTGATATTTCACTTGTGATTATTATAATATCTTTTAATTAGTTTGCATTAAAAAATCAGTGCTAGAAGATGACTAGAAGATGACTAGAATAACATAATTGAAAAGCTGATTATGCGAGGAGAGTTAGAAATTTTAACATTTTTTAAACATAAATATTTTACATTGCCCATGTATTTTGCATGAACAATGTAAAACGAAATTTGAAACCAAAATGCCTTTTTATAAAGCTGTGATGATGAATAAACGTTGATGGATCTGTTAATAACAATTTTAAGGCAAATAAAATGATTGCGTCATAATTGTCCACAGAAAAGACTTTTCGGCAGTGAGATAGAGCAAGATTGAGAAAGGAAAAAATACATATTTATTCCATTTTCAGTTCTTCATGATAGCTTCCAAAACTCGAAAATGGTCGTACATTTTCCTTAATGAAAATTCGTCGCGAAGTAATGATAATAAGACTAACGATAAGTGCAATCAGTGAAGAAAATAACATAATTGGCGCAAATATCGCTAATCCAAAGAGAAATGAGGTGACTGAAACAAAAGCAAAGTTTGAAGAGTTCATTTCAAAAACCAATTCATTAATCTTAGATACAGAGTTAAAGGATAGTTAGATGATGGTCTAAGTATGGTAGCGTTGAAAAATTAAAGTAATTATATCTCCTACCACTGATAAATTATTTGACGATTAAATATTGCTAGCTTGAAAAATTAAAGTAATTATATCTCCTACCACTGATAAATTATTTGACGATTAAATATTGCTAGCTTGAAAAATTAAAGTAATTATATCTCCTACCACTGATAAATTATTTGACGATTAAATATTGCTAGCTTGAAAAATTAAAGTAATTATATCTCCTACCGCTGATAAATTATTTGACGATTAAATATTGCTAGCTTGAAAAATTAAAGTAATTATATCTCCTACCACTGATAAATTATTTGACGATTAAATATTGCTAGCTTGAAAAATTAAAGTAATTATATCTCCTACCACTGATAAATTATTTGACGATTAAATATTGCTAGCTTGAAAAATTAAAGTAATTATATCTCCTACCACTGATAAATTATTTGACGATTAAATATTGCTAGCGTTGAAAAATTAAAGCAATTATATCTCCTACCACTGATAAATTATTTGACGATTAAATATTGCTAGCATTTTTGTAAAAGCCAATTTCATCTATAATTACGGCGAAAATTTGATAATTGACAATGATGCAAATATGTTGGTTAATTATAAGCCAAGTAATTAGGACGGATATTTAAAAAAAGAAAAATGCAAGAGACTTACGTTGTACAAGAGCAGCTGACGAATAAATGACAATGCTTGATATGATAATATATAATGATAACAATAGAACGGGAATGGCATTAAATACTATCATTGTTTTAATCAATATAGCAAATCGCCAGTCTAATTCATCACCAAAAATAACAGTTGACATTGCTGCAAGCTACAATTTCTACTTATGTTACGTAAAAGTAAGCTAATGAAGCGCTGATTAAATTAGAGCGTCATCTGATAAGAATTTATTTATTTTTGACAAACAATATGAAAAAACTGAAATAATTAATGATGTTATGTCTTGGAGAAATTACGAAGAGTAACGAAATTATATTGGATTTCATATTTTCTGATTTATTTTTAAAAATTGAAAATTGTTAACCTTATATAAAAAATATGCATGGAAAATAATGGAAATTTCTATGTAAGGAAAAGAATTAGATGCAATTTTAATTATCAGAATTTAGAAAAACAAAAAAAAAAAAAAAAAAGAAAGAAAAATCACTTTATTGATGTAAATGTAACCCACGGGTAACTTCCATATTTATATATGTAATCAATATTTTGCAAACATTTGACAGATATGTAGTAACCAAGGAAACGAAATTTTCCTTAGCATTGGTGATGAGGAAAAATGGTATGTATATGTAATCTTTTCATTAACTTCAAAATCATCCTGCATCCCTTAACCTCTCTAAAAACTTTAATAATCTTGATTAAAGTTATTTTTATTGATTCGAAATATTTGAATTCTTAAATAATCAAATATTGCTTGATTTTAAATTTGTAGTAATAAATTTTAATTGTTCAGTCTCTTTTCCTTTCTTTCTCTCTCTCTCTCCTTGCTTCGTTTTTAGTGGTTAACTGAGTTGAATTAAATTTTTAGTTTTACGTTATTTAGGAAAAATTTTAATTTCAAAATAATTCTTTCTGTTCTCCTCGCATTTTACTCTTCTCTATTTTTATTCTATACTTAATTGTTTAAATTTAAATTTTTTATCAAAAAGAATTATCAAAAACTAAATTAATCAAAATCACATTTTTATTTCAAAAGTTATTTTCTATTTTCAATTAAAATAATAGCTATAAAAAAAAAAAAAAATATTTTCATACCAATTTGGTAAAAATTAATTGCATATTTATTATTAACTGTGCTTTCTTTAGGAGTCTTCTGTAAGTCTTAGTCATTTTCAGATTGATACTGATAATCTCTGATATTATTGATAATTTCAAATGATAATAACAGTAGCTATTGAAAATATCCAGATTGACTAGAATATTTCGTATTTTCTGATTGATACTTAGCAATATTTTAAACATTTCTGTATAAATGTTGTTAAAAAGTATAATAATTTTATTGCTATCTTTGTTATTTTCAAAAAAAAAAAAAAAAAAATTTAGAATAAAACATAAAATTTCAGCAATAATTCCAACATAATAAAGCAAAACAGAGGTTAAAATCAATGTCAGACAAAACTAAGCCTAAAAGCAGAAGTAAATCAAGAAGTAAGGAGGAGCACAGTGATAAAAAGTTAGATTTCATAGTGATTATCAAATGTTAATTTAATTTCATGTGAAAAATAATTTCAAAATATTATAAAAATAAATGATTATCAGAAAAATGCTTTGTACTTTTTATAATATATTTAATGATATTGCATTATTCAATTTGTTTATTGCTATAAATTTCTTTAGATTAAAAATTTATGAAAATAGACGAATTTAAATTTAAATTTAAAATTATTATAAAATCGATATTAGCAATTAAAACATGGAGTGAAAAGCGCTTTTTTTTTCATTTTTGATTTAGAATTATGATATTAAAGTTATCGGAATTGATATTTTTTAAATCTGATTTTAATTATTATAATTAATAATATTGCTGTAATTATAATAAAATTTGTCAATTTAGCTGGAAGAAAGATGAAAGAAGCAAAATAAAAATTCCAACGAAAGAATTAAAAGAAAAAAAATTGAAAACAACTGGTAAAATTGCAACAAAGAAACAAGAAGATAATGAAAGTATTGACAAGAAGGTTTTTTGATTTCTGATTAGTTATTTAATTTCTTACCTATTAACTTATTTTATTTACTTAATCAAGTATTCAATACTCATTCAAGAGTAAAATTCCAAAATATGAAAGAGTATTAGTGTTTAAAAAATTTTGAAATTACAACAAATTTAAAATTATGTTTAATAATTTTAATGCTTCAAAAAAAGGAAAAAATTAGTTTTGTAGAAATAGATTTAGCTAATTGATGATAACAGCTTTTCTGATTGGTAACCATTTTTACAAATTTTTAAATTGCCAATGTTTATTTAAAGATTTTGTAACTAATAATTTAAATTGCAGATTGTCTTACTTATATTTCTAAAAATGAAATTTAAATGAAAAATACTAGCAATTTGAACAATTCAATACACATAAAAAACACAAATGATATTAATTATTATGACTTTTTCTATATAAATAAATTTTACAACTATAAAATTTGCTTTTTAAACTTTTACATAAACTTCGAATAATTCATCAAATTTTATGATTTTTTTTTTAAATTACCACTAAAATGAATAATGTCAACATTTCAAAAATATCTATGAATTAAATAAGACAAACGAATAAATTTAATTACTGTGAAATTTTATATTTTATTTATTTTTTTTTTGTGTTTTTTTAAATGAAAGAAATAAATTTCTATCAATTTGGAGTTGTCTCGTTTTTTTTTTCTTTGAAAAAAGAAAATCGAAATACACTAACTCTGTTTGATAAGATATGAAAATGCAATTAGCTTATGCTGAAATATTTGAATTAAAATATTTTAAATTTAGGAATTTCAAAGATTAAAGAAGAAAAATGAACGGAAAATGGAACAACGAAGTGTACATTTATCTAATTCAATCGATAAACTACGACAACCATTATCATCCAGTAGTAGTAAAATTTTAAAACTAAATTCAACAAATATTCCAAAACAGTATCCGGAAAAATTTGCTATCGATAAAATGGAAAGATTGAAGTCTGCAAAAGGTAGCGGTGAAAAGGTACAACGATTAAATGCAAAAGATATTCCAGAAAGTAATAGCGACAAAATGCGAAAATTACGAAGTGATAAAAATTCTAGTAATCATACCATCGACAATTCAATTGATAAAAATGGACGATTATTGGTAGCTGCAAAAAGTTCAAAGTTGAATTATCAAAATTTGAAAAGATCCAAAATGCTACTTCCGGAATGTTTTCAAATACCAAAAGTTTTGCCAGCGTCTTCAAGTCATATCGATGAATATAACTATGAAGAAAGTATTTTCGAATACGTATCAAATTTTTTTTTTTTTTTCGAATTTTGATTTTTGAATTTGAACTTGTTATAATTGCAATAGAATAGATTTTATAGAAATAAGCACTGGAATTTTTATTATATTTTAATTTAAATAGAAATGTTAACTAAATGAAGCAATACGAGAGGGAATGTAAAGGAGAAAATGGAATAATTTGATAAATTGAATAGAGTTTTTCATAAATAAATTACTGATTTTTTTTTTTTTTTTTTTTGAGAGTAATTAAGGACAATTTTATTTAAAATAACTAAAGAATATGCTAAGAGAAAGATTTGATGAAATATTTGCTACTATTTCAGGATGATTTCGAAGATTATTCAGATGATTTTGAGGAGGACACTGAAACTGATAATAATAAAAGCGAAAGTTCAGATCGAGAAAGTAGTACGGAAAAAAGTAATATCGGTAGATCCGATAAGATAGTAAACAACGAATCGTATGATAATTCACCTTTGCTACGTCGTATAATGAATCATCAACAATCTGATAACTCACAGGTTAATTAGAAAATTTTTCTATTTAAATTTTAAGTGAAAGAATATTGATAAAAATTGTCGAGAAGCAATTGACAGATAGAATTGAAACTTGACAATTAGTAAAATTAATTAATTCGAACAGAAATCTTTGGAATATATTAATATAAACTAATGTATTTAAAGAAAAAAAACATGTCTATAAAATGCTTTGATATTGAAATTAAATGATAATTTAAATGATAACTTAGCATAATTAATCAGTTAATGAGTGATTCTAATTTCCAATATTTTATTGATAATGTTAAAAAATAAAAGGGATGTTCAATTAATCGCAAAAAATATTTCAGACTAATTCTTCAAATACATTTTTTATTCATTCATTTAATCTCTTCCACAGAAAAATCATAACATTTTGTTTAAATCAAAGTAAAAAAAAAGTAAAAAGTAAGAAGAAAAATTTTGATTAAAATTGTCGAAATGTATGCTCAAATAGAATTTTAAACTTGCCAATTAATAAATAAAATTAATTAATTTCAATCAAAAATCAAAATTAATTAATTTAATTCAATCATCTTTCAAAAACAAAAAAGTGTCTATAAAATACTTTGATGTAATTAAATTATCAAAGAATATCAAAGTTTTAAATTTCTAATCAAATATGATGATAATTAAAACATTTTTACAGCCACAATTCACGCATTCTTCTGATTTGACACAGAGAAAAATTGATTTTACAAATGCGACAACAACAAATTGGGAAAAAATCTCTGAGGTTGAACGACGATATAAAATGCTCAAAAATTTAATTGGTATAATTTTTAATGATAATTTAATTTGGTGGTAATTTTAATGATAACATTTTAATAATTTGATAATTATATTCAATGTCTCATTTCAAACAATTTCATTTCAGAAAGTGAGAAAAAGATTTTTGCAACGAATTTATTTAAAATATATTTTTAAATAGGAATGGAAATTGTGCAATTTGATTTATTGGATCATCATCGAATTTGCGCCCATGATTTTTATGCGCAAATGTTTGGTAATACCAATTACACTCAGGTATATAATTCAAAAATAAATAATCTTAGTAATATTGAAAAAATAAAATTTTACATCATCCACAATTTACTAAATTTATGATCTAATCATATTTGATTTTACAAATTTTTTTATTTTGGACAGAATTAAAAAGATAAATTCTTAAAAAAAATAAAAAAATCTATCAAGTAAAATAAAGCAGCAATATTTTTCTTAAAATTTGATAAATTAATTTAACTAATTTGATAGCATGATTACTAGTGTTAATAGTTTTGTAAAATCTTAGCAATTCTAAGCTAATTAAGGAAAAGCTAAAAATTATAGTAAAAATTATTTGGCAATTTATTTGATGCATTATTTTTTCTGAATGTAAATTTGCAGGTACAAACACAAACAGGTGATGATGACTTGAATTGTTATGTACAAACAGAAGAAGTGGACAAGGAGACAGTATGGACACAAATTCCATATTCAGGTAATTTTGGATGAGTTCATAGGTCATTTATTTTCATGAGATAATAGAATTATGGTTATGGTTTATTGTTTACATAAATCTAAGAATTGCTGGTGTCAAGAATTGAAAAAAAAAAAAAATGAAAAAATGTATCAAAGATTAACGATTTTATGACAATGATTTGACTAAGATTGTCATAGCTAGTTAAATAAATAATTCAATTCCTATAAATTTTTTAAAATCGTTCTAATCAATCGATTAAATTTTTAGATTTCTACAAATTTACTACGATAAAGTATGTAAATGTTTAAAAAAAAAAAAAAAAATTATTTGATTGATTTAGATCATCAAGATTGTGGTGTAGTGAATATTTCGAATGATATCGATTATCACAAACATTTTGATATTGATGATTCTGAAATTAACTTTTTTAAAATTGGTCATTTTGAAATGGAAAAATTTCGGAAGTTTATTTCTATTGCTGGACAGGTGATTTCTCTTTTTTAAATATTGATGAACAAACAGTTATATTATAGTAATTGCAAATGAGTAAAATTTTACAGTGAACAAAATTTTAAATGAAACAATAATTGCTCTATAACTAATTTATTAGCTAGAAAAAAAAGAAGAAAAAAAATTAATTGTAAATTTAATTGCAAAATTTATAGCTAAAATTTTTTGCTTACTTAAAAAAATAAATTAGCCAAAAATTTTATTTTCAAATATTTGCATAAAGCTAAAAGTTTCATTTTTATCTCATACAATGCTAATTAATTATGCTGAAAAAAATGAGATAAATTGTTACTCATTCAACTTAATAAATTTAATTTTATATGTAATAATTTAGTAATTTAGTTAATTATTCATATTTTTTAATTTATCATTTAATTTGTTAGCTTCTTTTGTAGGTTTTTATTGATATAATGCAATCATCATCAAATTGTACAGCTAAACTATCATTAGAATACCGTACGTCGTCATTTAAATTTAGCACAGGTTATAGCAAATTTTTATTGGGTGATTCTATAAATTGTAAGTTTTCTTTTTCTTTTTTAAAAATTTAAAAAAAAAAAATTTCTCTTTTAAAATTCTCTTTTTTAAAAAATGAATTAGACCATATATTAAAGCTAAAATGTTTCATCTTTATTCTTATCTCAAACAATAAAAATTTCATTGTTAAATAATTATATTTGGAAATAATTAGTAAATAAATGAAATAATTAATAAAATAAATGTCAAAATTTGAGTATAATTTTCAGCTGCTAAAATTACAAGTATACTTCATTGGGAGAATCATTTGTTTGTGGCATTTTATATTGAACAAACTTCAAATGATGATATGATCAATCGGAATATTATTATTGAATTCGATATTTGTAAACCAAATATTCCTCAAAAGTAGCATCATTAATTAATTATAAATTAAACTAAAGTAATTTTGAACCTAATTGAATTATTTTAATAAGCCAATAAACAATTGTTGTTTGTAGCAAATTCGTTGATTTGTTCAAATTTTTATTTGATATCAAAATAATTAAAACTTTCAGAATTTTACTTTGTGAAAATGAAGTAAAATGTCTTTGTACATCACCGGATGGAATCAGTGCTGTGTTTGTTGGCCTGGCAAGTTAGATTATTATTTCATATTTAATTATACTTAAGAAATAATCGTTTTTTAATTTGATATAGCAGAGCTAATCTAATTCAAATCAAATTCAAAAAAAAAAAAAAATTTCGAGAAAGCATAGAAAGATGAAAAAGTTACTGCGTAGTTATGTGCCAAAAGATTTTGTATTTAATTAAAATATTATTCACTTGTAATCATGATATTTAAATTTGTACGTAATTTTGCTAAAAGTTTAATTAAACAAAATAAGATCTCAATTTGATATACATATTTCAGAGATATTCTGATTTTATATTTGTTTTTTTTTTTCTTTTTATAGATTTAATTTAAAAGATTTATAATTTCATTAACCTGATAATTTTATGAACAAATGAAATTATAGCAATCAATACATTTTTTTTCTCCATTTTAACTATGCTTTTCTTAATTTATGCAAATTAATTAATTAATGAAAAATAATTTTTTTATCTTTTGATAATATAGAATGATGGTAGTTGTATGGCATACGATCTCAGAGAACAAAATTCATTGTTTACAAACAAATTACGATGGCATCAAAACGGTGAAATGTATCCGTTAAGGACGGCTGCTTATGATACTTCCTTTAAAGCTTTCAATAAAAAAGCATTTGAGGAGGACTATCAATTTGCTATTGTTGCAATTAGCAATATTCCTTCTATCATAGACAGGTGATTAATTAATTAATTAATTAATTTTTGTCGTTAGTTTTTAATGAATTTTGTGCATTTTAAAATATTTACAAAATGATCATTTACAATTTTTGCATTTATAATAATTTCAAAACTAGCATTAGTATTCGTTTCAAAATTTAAATTTCAGTTCAGAAACATATCAAATTGTTAGTGTTAACGAAGTTGGCATTGTTATCATATGGACAATAATTAATGAAGAGTCAACTCGAATAAATGATCATGATCTTGGTTTACGACCTGGTGCACAATTAAAAATGGCGCAAACGTCGATAATACGACCTGATAGAATCCATTTCAGGTTATTTTGTTGTTTAAGCTTTTTTTTTTTTTTAATATTTTATCTTTTGCGAGTTTAAACTTGAAGTATTTCAAATTTTAGTAGTTTTATTAACAGAAATTGAATGAAAAAAAAAGAAATTAGAGTTGTACAAATGAATTTTTATTTGTTTGTAAACCAAAACCACAAAATTTGGTTATGTCAAATATTTTTGCTCTTTTTGCATCTGTGATGATAAAATTATCCAATGAGAATAATTACAATTTTTCACAGTTCTTTTTTTTTTTTTAAAAAAAAAATATTTTAAATTTAATTTTTCATTTTTAAAGTAATTTAAATTCATCACGGAAGATGACTGTTAATTGTATGGTAATAGTACCAATCAATCCAGCACAATTTTTTCTCGGTACAAGTCGTGGCATTATTATCAATTTCATTTCAAACAAAGCAATCAAATTAATCGGTCCACGAATATATCGAAATGATTTTGGTTGTTAGAAATTTTTATTTCGTTTAAATTTCCTTTTTAATTTTTAATTTTGTTTTTTTATTTCTATTTTTTAATTTTGCATTTAATTTTGCTAATGTCAATGAATTTGTTATTTTGCTAACAAAATTCTTTAATATTTTTTTTTTTAAGTTATGAAAGTATTTTTATAGTGGTTGGTAATTTTTGAAAATTTATGTGAAATTTTGTTATTATTTGCTTTTTATAATAAAAAAAAAAAAGTGCAAATTTTTAGATTTAGCAACAGAGGTGATATGTATTAGTTTTTCTTTGGAATCAATCTTCTTTTTGGTATTTTATTTGCAATTTTCTTAAAATTTTTCTCATTATTAATGATTTTAATCATATCTTTAACTTATAAATTCCTCTCCTAACATTTTACTTTATATGATCATTAATTTTCAATGCTATTTCTTTAAAGTTAATTATATTTTTATACTTTTTTTATATTCATATGTTTATTAGGTTGGATTCTCGAGTGGTCACATATCATTATATGAAATTTCTAATGCACAACCGATTTTAACTTTTGAATCTCCAAAACAAGCACAGCAATCATTGCTACGAGTACTCTTCTCGCCAAGGCTTCTTTCATTTCCATTTTATCATCAAAATTAAAATCAATAATGTTTTCCTTATTTTTGATGATAAAAAATATATGAAATAAAATGTGAACTTTTAATAAATTCAAAAAAAAAATTAAAATTTTGAATTGTTCTAAAACTACATTTGAAATTTGAAATAAAATATTTCTCATCTAATAATGGCACCGTTAATTTCTTAATTCTTTTAGTAATCCATCCTTATTCTACACAATTCATAGTCATGGTTTATTACTAATATGGGATTTAACCAAAAGTAAGAAACCGGAATATATGGATGATTTAAATTTGAAAGATGGCTTGGTGATAACAAAAGCTGAATTACAAATCACTTCCTCAAGCAATTCATATACAAATCTTTTGGTTTGTAACGAAGTTATATTAATAACATTTTGAAAATCACTATTTTTAATAATTTATCTTTAGCGAACATTTTGAAAAAAAAAAAAAAAAACAAATACATCAGTTTTCATATTTTCAGGCAATCGGTTTCAGTAACGGAGAAGTACAGTTGCATGGTTTGGCCATCAATCGTGATAACAGGAAAGGGAATAAATCGTTATCAAATGTTATCAAAGCATATCAGCTAGAAATTTAACAAGTAAAAAGAAGAGTACGATAGAAATTTTTGCATGTTAAATGACAAGAAAAGAAAAATTGTTTGTTAAATTTTGAAAAACAAGTGTAGAAGTGTAATTTTTAACAACTTTTAGCAATATTTGTATATGGTTAATATATGGTGTGACAGTTGATAATGTTATCACATCTATTTGTCACAACATCACTTATCACCGCACTCATTCATTACAATACAGGTTATCACTGCACTTACCATTTATCACATCACAATATTAGTTATCACTGTACCTATCATCTATTACAATGCATGTTATCACCATACTTACCAGTTATTACTGTACCTATCATCTATTACAATGCAGGTTATCACCGCACTACCAATTATCACTGTACCTATCATCCATTAGAATACAGGTTATCACCATACTTACCAGTTATCACATCTAATAATCGTTGTAACCATCCATTACAATACAGATTATCACCTTATCAATCATCGCAATATCTAATGACACAATTACTTGAATTCCTTAACATTCTTGCAAGCAAAAAAAGAATTAGAGATTACTAGAAGAATTGAGAAATAGAAGAGAAATGATTTTGTGATGTTTAGTCGATCAAATATATCCAACAAATTCAAAAAGCTATATGATGTAAAATATTTTCCATTCTGTGATAATCTAAATATCTGAAAATGCAAGTAATTCATATCAATCATTAATTATTAGATGAATGTTATGATGAAAAATTGAATTTGTTAATTTTGATATTTCATAGCTTTTCATTTGATTTTTTGTTTTTTTGTTATTGGTTTGAATAGATATCATTTCATATATTTGCCTCAATTCAGATGATTTACTGTAATTTACATTCACATTGAATCGTTTTGAATTTCTTTTTCAATTCGTCGAATGATTAAAAAATGAAAATGAAAATTTACTGCATTGAAACAAAAAGATTTTAAAAAGTCGATGATAATTTTAACAATTTCCGCCAATTTAGATTTTTTTTTTTTATTCATTCAATATTAAGTTAATCATTCCATTGCGAGATTTTCATGAGATTAATCATTTAGGAGTATGCGATGAAATGATATTTGTAAGGAAAAGCGATTAATCTTCAATTATTTTTGGCTACTTGTAAAAGATTATAATTGCATTTGAAATCATTCTAATTAAATCGATGAGGAATCTTTCGAGAGTAACTTGAATTAATCAAGGAAGTTAAATTCAAACTGACCATTTGTCTTACAATTGAAAAAACAAAAACAAAACAATGAAAGTTGCAAGACACAATTCGAGAATAAGTGTTGTACCGAAAAGTGATTTATTGATTGATCGAATGATCGATCTTTCACTTACACATAATTTCTGATGATTTCTTCAGTGGAATATTTTTTGCTTTACAATAATAATCCATTTTCATATCAAATGGATGAAGATTTTGATAGCAATTTTTAAATTTTGTTAGTTTCAATTTTATTATTTATATTTATCAAAAAGAAAAATATTTCCTTTATTAGATCAATCAGCAGGTAAATTGATATGATCAGCATTTTTTGGATGATTTGGCTCATTGATATTTTATAATTTTTGCTTCTTATTTTAGAAACGATAACATCTTTTGATGAAGCTTTGATAATAATAATAAAATAATGGATGAGAAATCATTAGAAATTTAGTGAAAATATTGAATTTTTTTTTTTGAAATAAATTAATTCTCATGTGTTTATTGTGCTTTACTGCATAATTTTAAATAATTGGAGCGAATTGAAGAATGATGCATGCATTTACCTGTACTGCGCTGTTGTTGCAACAACATTTTCGTTTTATTTAATTTTCGAATCAAAATTAATAACTTTTATTGGTCACTCAAAGCTTAAAAAATTTTCCTCTACAAATGGCTTTTTTATTTTTAAATTTAGGAGTTCAAAATTCGTCTTCGGTATAAATTCATGATTCGTTAATTGCTAAAAATAGCTTCTCAGTCCTTTTATCTTCTTACTCTTCCTTGATAGCATTTAATCAGCTCCTGTGTATCAGATAAATTGATAAGTTAATTTTGAGTCAGTTTTAAGCTAGATAAATTAATTTGATGTTTCCTGAAGCAATAACAACAGATTGAAAGAATTAAATACCATTATTTCAAACCGTTTTAACTGATCTCAGATGCTACTGGAAACATTTGTTTACTATTGAAATTTGAAATCTATTTATTAAATTTACCGCAATCAGTGGAAATTCCATTCTGCTTTTTCTTTTCTCTTAAAAAATTTTCAGCAAATAAAATGCAGTTATGTTTAATTTAGGCTATGCTTATTAAATAATTTCTCTCTTTTTTCTTCGATTTCAATTTGATGTCTAAATATTATCTAATGGTTGCTTTTTAAAAATTTTTCGAGCCATTCAAAATTCAATAACAAATAGTTGATTTAAGTTTTTTTTTTTAACGATAGGTTTTATGAATACATTTGAAGATTGTTTATTTAACTCAAGAAAACCATATAAAAATCTGAAAAAGTTTAGCAAAGATTTTGTTTAAATTTAAAAACTTCGACTTTTTCATTTTTTAAATATTGAATATTTTGCTATTTTAAATTGATAAAAATTTTGCCTATAGAACTGAGTGGAAATTTTATACTTTATTACTAATTATTATGCATCAATAATGTAAAAACAACTGTGATTTTTTCTTTCCATTCTCGAGTGCTTTCCTTCATAATTCCTTCATTTTTTTTCACTTTTACATTTCCTAATTGATTTCTAAAATTTTGCTTCTCACAGATTATACAAAATTTTTTATTCAAATCATCTGCTAATTAAACAATGCAAAGAAAATTTAATTTTTATTTGAGTATCAAATGTGATAAATTCGAAATTTAAATCTAAACGTTCAAAGTTTGTTTTGTTAGCTTTGAAAATTGATTAAAATCTACACACAAAACAGCAATAGCACCTGTTTATTTTGCTATGAAAAAAATTTTGTTATGCAAATTTATTTGCTTGTTATGACGAAGACCAAGGCTTATTTTTAAACTAAAACTTATGTAGGCGATCATCCTGAAAAAATGATTTCTGTGCATATTTTCTTTACCTTTTCTTCTCACAAAAAACGATAAAATTAACACTGATAAGGGAGTGATAAGTAAACCGATGTATGATAATAATAAACATTCCATTAGCATGTTTCTTTGATCTAATTATCCATCAAATTCAAAATTCCTGTCATATAAAAACCTTTCCATTTTTTTTTTTTTTTTATTCTTTCTTTCGAGACATATACTTCTGGCATACATATATTTTCCTCCTTAACGATTTCAATAAATGAAATCGATAATTAACTGATTACTGACTTTTTTACTCTAATTAGTTAATTCTCTGTCATATGATTAGAATAAGTAAAAAGATCAATACAAATATTAGCTGTTATTTTTTTAGTTTATTCGATTTTATTTTTGAATATATTATTTCGCACTTCAATTTTACATTTGAATATATCTAACCATTTCAATTATTTATTTACATAAAATTTTTGCAAAAATTTGAAAAAAAATTAAAGCGGAGCTTCTTAGCTGCTAATAAATGTTGAAATGATGCAACATTAACTGTCGATAAATGCAACAGTCAAAGTTTGATATATATTTGTTTACAATGATGTAAGGAAATCGACCATTTTTTTTTTTGTTTCACTTTTTTTTTTTTGCCAGACAATTTTTTACTTCCTTTTAGCATTTTTTATTGGTTAAATAATTTCTTATTTGTTTGGTTTATTTGTATTTAAAACACATTACAATTTTATTTTTAGAATAAAAAAATTCAATAAATTTTTGTGATAAATTTTCAAATGAATAACAAATTTTTATCTGTGAAAATATATATATATATGAGAAATTATTCCTATGTTCAGTTGAATGTAAAATACTCAAAATCCTGCATCAACTTATTAGAAAATGAAAATTACTTTCTTAATTTAACGTTTTTTTTTTTATAAGAATATTCTTCAAATGTAATTGTCCAAAAGACTTTTCGGCAGTGAGATAGAGCAAGATTGAGAAAGGAAAAAATACATATTTATTCCATTTTCAGTTCTTCATGATAGCTTCCAAAACTCGAAAATGGTCGTACATTTTCCTTAATGAAAATTCGTCGCGAAGTAATGATAATAAGACTAACGATAAGTGCACTCAGTGAAGAAAATAACATAATTGGCGCAAATATCGCTAATCCAAAGAGAAATGAGGTGACTGAAACAAAAGCAAAGTTTGAAGAGTTCATTTCAAAAACCAATTCATTAATCTTAGATGCAGAGTTAAAGGATAGTTAGATGATGGTCTAAGTATGGTAGCGTTGAAAAATTAAAGTAATTATATCTCCTACCACTGATAAATTATTTGACGATTAAATATTGCTAGCTTGAAAAATTAAAGTAATTATATCTCCTACCACTGATAAATTATTTGACGATTAAATATTGCTAGCTTGAAAAATTAAAGTAATTATATCTCCTACCACTGATAAATTATTTGACGATTAAATATTGCTAGCGTTGAAAAATTAAAGTAATTATATCTCCTACCACTGATAAATTATTTGACGATTAAATATTGCTAGCTTGAAAAATTAAAGTAATTATATCTCCTACCACTGATAAATTATTTGACGATTAAATATTGCTAGCTTGAAAAATTAAAGTAATTATATCTCCTACCACTGATAAATTATTTGACGATTAAATATTGCTAGCTTGAAAATTTAAAGTAATTATATCTCCTACCACTGATAAATTATTTGACGATTAAATATTGCTAGCTTGAAAAATTAAAGTAATTATATCTCCTACCACTGATAAATTATTTGACGATTAAATACTGCTAGCATTTTTGTAAAAGCCAATTTCATCTACAATTACGGCGAAAATTTGATAATTGACAATGATGCAAATATGTTGGTTAATTATAAGCCAAGTAATTAGGACGGATATTTAAAAAAAGAAAAATGCAAGAGACTTACGTTGTACAAGAGCAGCTGACGAATAAATGACAATGCTTGATATGATAATATATAATGATAACAATAGAACGGGAATGGCATTAAATACTATCATTGTTTTAATCAATATAGCAAATCGCCAGTCTAATTCGTCACCAAAAATAACAGTTGACATTGCTGCAAGCTACAATTTACAGTGTAGCAGAACAAAGTAGTAATTACCAGCACAAGGTTAATTTTTGAAAATCCTTTATAGATTTTTGAGAATATTAGACATTTGTTATGTATCATATACATTTTAATTTCTTTTCGATTACTGACTCGGTCTCGAGGTATGAACCATTCAATTTGTTCACCTCGTCACTTGCTGGAAATGCCAAACAACAATATGGTAGGAGCAGTTGTCTGCTTAACAACTTTTCCTATAAGTATAAATTGATCAATGTCAATGACTGTTGAACTATTTGAAGCATAATCATATTTTATGTGCACTGTTTAAATATCTTATGGATGATCCAAGTTGCATTCAACGAGAAAATCACCAGATTTTGCTGTTTATATAAAATTACTCCGATAGTTTACAATAATAAGCATAAGACAAACATTAGGTAGTAAGTTACTGGTAAGAAACAAAAACATAAGTGCAAACTAAAATGTATATCATATTTTTTTTTTTTTTAGAAATATATCCTAGAATTAAAAAAGCAACAAAAATATCAAACATGTTCGTCATAAAAATAAGAAGATGTAGATAAAATATTCACAGAAAGTATCCAATTGAAATTTTCATGCATATTCGGCTGTAATACATAATAAAACATATTAAGTCATTAATTTTTAATACCATGACAGTTATAAATTTCATGATGAATACAAATGAGCAAAAAAATAAAGTATTCACAAATGGTATATCAAGAAGAAATTTAACAACCGGAGAAGCTACTTAGTAAGGAGAAAAAGAAAGAATTGAACAAAAGACGAAAAAAAAAAAAACCTTAAAAATAGTCAAAAAAAAACCGTAAAAAATAGTAACTGATGGGGTCAGGCATTTGTTTCAAGAAACAAAAATGTTAAAAGTAATTCTTATACATGTATTTACAAGAATATCAGTGCAAGTTTTTTTTTTTTTTTTCTTTTCTTTGAGCAAATTCGCACTAATAATATCAATAAGACAACTGATATATTCTAAAAAAAAAAAACAGAACGAGAAATAAAAAAAAAAACCTATTATATCTACAACAATTTGTTATGCATTCTTGACAATTATCCCATTTCCGCCGGTATTTCTGGAATCTTACTGTTAGCAATTCGCTCAAAACCATTCATCTTCATTAATTTTCGACATATTGCAAGTGCTCGTTCTTCGTGCACAATATTGAAACATTCAGGCTAGAAGCAGGAAAAGCATTAAATTGCTTTCATTTTTATAGAGATAAAAATGAACTAGCGTAAACAAAATAATTTTGCACCAATCTAATCAAAAAAAAAAATCTCTGCCCGTGCAGCTTTAAGTGAAATAAGTACTTTAAATTACACCGCACTGAATGGAACATATGGTAAGGAAGATTTTTTAACAGGAATACACATCAAAAACAGGTGATCATCGTAGTATCATTTACGATGAAGAAAAGATAATTTTTTTAGCAAACTGAAATTCAAATGGTTTATTTAGAAAAGTATGCAGAAACAATTAGCAAAAATAGAAGCTATATACACCACTTTTTTTTTTTATAGCTCAAGATCCAATATCGTTGGAAAAAACAACCATGTCATTTCTCATTTTAGGTTTAACTAATTTCATTCAAATATTTTAAATATGTGGCTATGTGAGATTCTTTGTGAGATTATATGTGTTAAGATAAGATCAGTCATCTAAATTTTTTAACCATTTTTAGAATTAAAGAAAGCAGTATTTGTTTTATTATAGCTTACTTTATAAAAGTAATTATAATCAATTAATGTAAAGGTCTTAGCTATAGAATGTTCATCGCAATATCAATAACAGCTAAATCATTTGAATCAGTAAAAGCATACCGTCACTTCGGAAAGTGGAATTCCAAGTTCTTCATTTATTTCGTCCATTGTTATTTGATAATTCAGATAATACATTATATCACGGAGAAGAGCATTTCCTGAAAAGAATCACGTAGTTTTCCGAAATAGACAATTTTAAATTTAAATCAGATCTAACAATCAATAGACGCTTCATTCTAAAAGAACCTCAAATGAAAAAGTTTCACAGAATTCCAGAACCAACAAAATTAGTACTACAGATTTATCATACCATTATCATGCTAGAAACATCCAATTTCTTGATCAATGAAATATAATTTGAAATAATGCTTTTCTAATTATTTAGAAAACAATATCAAATTTTAACAAAAGCTATAATGGAATAAACAATGATATAGATATGCTGTTTTTCTGTTGTGAAAAAGTTTTAAGTAGGCCAAAATTTGCCAAAATAACGAACCATTTTCATTTACGCTTACAAAATTACGAAGGCGCGCATTTGAAAGTACTTTTATACAAAGTTTATCCATTTCGTTGATCCACGTACCAATATCCTAAAATATTAACAGCAGCTAGAGCATAATTATAGATATAAAGGTTATAAATGTAGCATTTCTAAAATATGAATAAAAAGAAATAATTTAACTGCTAATACTTATAGCTTAGGTACAACAGTATCAGATCAGTATCCGATGGTACAACGAAGATTGAAGGCTATAGTACTAAATCAAAAGTAATTTATGAAATAAAGAACAACTGTTCCTACGATAAAATGATAATCGATAACAAATATAATTATGACAAGCTACAAACATATCTGATACGAAAAAAGTTTGAAAAATAAAAAATTTCGCCGAACTTCCTAAACAGAATGCTTACCCAACAAAAATTACTATGCATTTGCATAATCCAATTTCTGCAAACTTATCAAAATATTCATTAATGAACTACCGCGATTTTTGACATCTTAAGGAATGAAATTTCTAAAGATTTTCTTTCTAAAAAATCAAGTCACTGGTAGAGATTTGAATTTAAAAGAAAAGCGAAAACACCATAAAACTGATACCTTCTTGACAGAAATGTTGCTTTCTAGATTTTCTGACAATTTTGAATCCCATCCATTAATAATTCTGAAGCAAAAAAAGATTTTTGCAAGAAGAAATTGGAAAAATTATGTTTGTAAATAAAAAATTGAAAAAAACTGTGTATCAAAAAATTGAAAAAAAAAAAACTGAGATTTAAAGATATTTATATAGACTAACTGGTTGCTGATAACGAAGTTTGAACTGGAGCCAACATTGTTTCTCATCTGCAGATCATTTGCATCTTTTGTGTTTGCTAATTTCAGTATGACCAAATAACCAAAAATAAAAAAGAAAAAAAAAATTAAAATTAAAAAAATTTCAAAATTTTAAATCCTATTTACTAAAACAATAAAAATTAAACACAGAAATGAAAATAACCTTAGTTTCAATGTTTTGAACATGCAGCAGTGAATCACATTCCTCCATCGCATGATCTCTAAATAAAATGAAATTTATTAAAATAAAAATAGGCACAATTTACTGCTTCGACAATATTAAAAGAGTCCATCATATATTTAAAAATATAATAATCAAATAAAAAAATATATAAATAGAATAATCAAAAGATAGATATCTAAAGTAACCAAATATTGGAACTGAATCCTAGAATTATGTCTTACACTGAAATAGTGCAATAGAACAAAAAATAAAACTCTGAAATTTCCAGAATTCTTGAAACCCTCAGTATGTAAACATTTAAATTTGAATGAATGAATTTTTTATATGATATATAACATGCTTGCTTAACTATTAAAAAAGGAATTAGGATATTCAATTACTTCAGTTTGTCGCGAAATTCTTCCTTAGCACTTGCAATATCATTCTGATACTGATCGATTACGTCGTTATATTTTCCATCATTTTCATCCTTCAATAGTTAATTTATGCTATTTCATTTCTTTTGCTGAATTTTAGCTTTGATAACTACATGGACTGTCAACAAAAGCAATTAAATTAATAAATTAAAGGCCATTTTCAAAGTCATTTTATGAGACTCAACAGCAAAGTTCTAAGTTATGAATTTAACAAAAGAATGAAGTACCTGAATTTCCTTCATTTCTTTTAATTTGTGTGTTAAATGTTCAACAAATTCGTCATCCCACACATCTTCCTAGAAAAAAAAACAAAACAAAACCTTTCCTGAAGCCTATTATCTGCATTTTATAAAAATTTTTTGATACAATTATCAAAGGATACTTTTGTTGTAATAAGATGATGAATGGAAATAACCATTACAATAAACAGCAAACAAAACCTCCGAGTCTCCGTTTTTTTTTTTTTTTTTTTTTTTTGGATAGATTGTTTAGTAATTCAAGTTGATAACTTCATAATTTTGATTAGGAACAAAAAATTCATTAAACAAACCGATTCTAATCCATCTCGTTTTGACCTCATGAATTCGTTTTTTGGTTCAACTGCAACACTATCTTTCGAGGAGCTAGCCAATTCGCGACCACTCTCACAAATCATAATCGTTTTATCAAACATTTTCAAAAAATTCATACTCACATGATATTATTAATTATTTGCTACATGTCAAGCAAACCTTCACCCACTCTGCTACTTTAACCTACTACAAAACATCCAGTTAAGTTAGAAAAAAAGTATAAGGAACACCTTATTAAATTAGAAACAAAAGGACTGCTTATTACTGTTAAGAAGAAATAAAACCTTTTCAGCAAATGAGTTGAGAGGAAATTTGTCACTAGAATTCAACTCATTGTCCAAAACGATAGAATTGAGTGGCTGGAAATTTTGATTCATCGAACAGTTGCTATCATTCGATAATGAAACAAGCATTTTCGAAGCATTCGTCGAATGCTAAAATAAAAACAGAAGATAAGCCGCAACATACAATAATTAAAAAAGCAATTGATAAGTTGAAAGTAAAATTTTACAAAAAAACAAGTGTTCCGAACAGAGGTGAAGAACAAATTCCTTAGCAATAATTCAACCAACATTATTTTCGTTGCTTTCCGCAAATTCGGTAATGTTCCTGATTGGTGACCCCGAAATATCAATTTTTATAGTGGGTATTTCATCGTCCTATCAAAAGGATAAAAAATTTAGATTGTAAGGTCTATGAAATTCTGAAATATCTAAGAAAAAAATTCAAATTCGCTTATTAAACAACTCATAATCACCAAAAGAGAATAAATAATAGCATTATGCAATTCATCAAAATTGTGTCTATCTCAATTTCCTCAGAAAAGGCTGAAAGTTTTTTAAAATAAAAATACATATAATAACATAAGTCTACGTAGAATTTTTAAGTAAAATATGCATCTCAACACTTCATTCAACATTGAAAGTGTGAAAGAAAACATTTCTAGGATACACTAAATGAATGGTGCTAAAATACTGTAATCGTAAATTCACTTATTTTAATAAATTGCATAACGTTTAACATCAGCCCTAAACTAGTATCGCTTGTTATTAAATATTAGCTCACTATTCTTATGCTTAATTTGGAAAAAAAAAAAAAAAAAACTTACGATAACTAGTGATTGGTCAGATACTGTATTCAGATCTGCAAAATACTAAATGATAATAATAATAAATAAACACTGTCATCTATGATTCTTGCCTAATCTATAAGAAATAAGAGATAAACATTTTTTTACTTTTCCATCAATATTTCTTACCTTCACAAGCATTACTGAACTGTTCAACTTCTGTACATTCAGCACATAATTCGAAACATCGTTTAGTTGTAAAGAAATCGTCTCTCTATCAAATAAATCTATCAGATTAAATTGAAAAGACAAGAAAATCCTGTGGGTTTAACAGAACTTCCATGTATTTCATACAAAGAGTGAAATCCTGCATTCATCAAGATCACATATCAATTTAATAGTAACAAAAGCAGTGTCCACTATGTTTTGAATAGATATAAATTCACTTACGATTCCAGCAACAGTATTACTATCAGTAGTTGCATAAATACCAATGCCAGAAGCATAATCATTGTATGCTCTGTAATAAAGAATCGATATTGTTGTACCGATAATCGGCTCAGCAGAATATGCTATATCCAGTAAAGTAATAGCACAATCTAGAAATTTTGCATGTTTTTTGTTATCATTTGGATATCAATATTATTATAAATCTTATGTTTTTAGAAAACCAACTGGTATATGGGTTACCAATACTCAATTAAACCTTATTATATTAATAATCATAGCAAAATCTATTATAAGATGAGCATGCGAGCTACCTCACAGTATGATTAAAGAAACTCAAAATTACCCGACACATAGACTCGACCATCTGCTTTTACCTCGGCTTTTTGCGTGAAAATTAGCACTTCAGATTGAAATACACTTTCCGATTCAACACTTATTTCCTTAGCCTGAAATCCAAATCAAAAACACTTTTCTTGAAGAGAAAAACTTCAAGTATATTCTTTGAAATGGAAATTTTTCGTAACTCAAATTTTGACAACAAAACGATAAATATTCACTGAAATGGACAAAATTAATCATACAATTGAAACATATGATTAAACATACCATAAAGTACACTGATGTACCGCTTTTCCTGAGTGGTAATGCCTGAAATTCAACAGCAGTTAGCGGTTTCAGTTGATTTACCATTTGTCCTTCGACGGCAATTAATCCGATATAGTCATTCCACAGGTAACCAGAACAATCGCTTACATTGCATACAACTGCTGTTCCTAAAAATATTCACTAATTTTGATACAATAGCAAAAAATGAGAAAAACGAAGAGATAAAGATAAAGCATTAAAACACTTCCTGATACTTCCATGATTTACTGTGGTACCTCATATTAGATCACTACATATTTACCTTTAACAATACATTCGTTCTCTCTAATAAGGCATTTCAATCGTGGATGTGCCATTAATACAATCTTTCGGGCAAACCATTTTCCATTTTCCTGAAAAAAAAATCATGAATAATTACTGGCGGCTGCACTACATTACTGCACTACATTCCAGTTGTTTTAAATATTTTTTTTTTCTGATTATTCTAATTGACAATATGTTATTTTCATTAAATTCTGGTTAAAAAGCATGACTTTTGAATTATTTTTGAAATGAAGAGGAAAAAATTATATATTGTTGAAAAGTATGTTTATCAATTAGCATGACATGAAAACATATTTGAAAATTATAAATTACATATAACTTAATTAGCAAATTTTAAAATTCACTATCAAAAGTTGGCATTTCAACATGATATTACATGTAATCATGTGAAGAAAAAAGTTTAAACATATGTTAGTTTTAAATTAAAAAGATAATTCCAGACAAGTTTTCACCTTATTCATATAAATCAAATTAAATCAATGTTCTAAATAAGAAGCAAGTTGGGAGGGAAGATATTTAGAAAAAGGGGGAAAAGAAGAAAAAATAAAACAAAAAATAGCATTTCAAACCTGGCAGAATGGCTTAAACTTGCACCACATTCCAATATTAGGCTTTCTACTTCTGCTAATTACTTCCGTTGTTTCATCTAAGCAAACTTCACCAATTACAGAACAATAAATTGATCGTATACCATTTGGTGAACAATCATAGATGAAACCATCCAAATTGATTCCATCCATACTAAAAATAAAAATAACAAGTATTACATAGAAATAAGTATTACACATGACTTTTCACATGAAATTATACAATCTTTACGCATATGAAATGAAAAAGACGCATATGAGAAAAAAAAAAACTTTAATTAAATTTCTAACAGTAACCAAAAAACACTGTTATTCTTTCACATGTAAATAGTGTAGCGCATAAAGCCAGTGTATTATTTGTTGCTGTTAAATTAAATTAAAATTATCAATTTAAGATTAACAATTTTTTTAATAGTTAATAACTCCTAACAGTAATCAAAAGGCATTGTCATTTTTTTTTTCATATGCAAATAGAGAGAGAGAGAGAGAGTTTAAAAAGGGAAAATTACAAAATCCACGCATTACTTCACGTATGCTTCCTGACGGATTTCACACTTTTTCATAACTTTAAAATTTCAATTGTGCAATAAATTTCAACAAGGTCGATGGAACGTTTTACATCACAAAATGGTAAATATCACACAAATTACAACATACTTTGCATCGGTTACGTCAATATGTTTAATACAAAAAGTAAATGAAGACAAACACTATGACATCGAGAAATCTTCAAAATTCTTTTCAATGTTAATTTGAATGAACTTTAGCATTTTCATAATGCGAATTCTGGTATATCTCTTCTCCCTCTCTCATTCTCCCTCTCTCTCTCTCCCTCTCTCTCCTTCCCTCTCTTTCATACTCTTTATCCCTCAAAAAAAAAGATATTTCATTATTTTTGTCACTTTGAATTTACAAAAAAAAAAAAGAAAATTTCTAATTATTATCGATATTCGAAATTATTTTTTTGTGAGAAAAAGAATTTTTTTTTTTCATATTCAAACCATAATTTCAAGGATTGGTAATAAGAAATGGAAAACAAAAAAAGTAATTGAATAGACAGAAGTAAATAGAATGAATAAACATTTACAGAAATATTTAGAATTGAAAAATGCAATGTTTATTTGAATTGTAAGATTGATTTATCTTTTACTTAGATTAATCATTTTACTTCAATCATTGAAATTATATTATTATTATTATTATTATCATTTTTTATGTTAATAAAAATTTGAAGTAATATTTTCGCTGTCAGTTTTTACTGAATTGATATTTTGATTAATAATTAATATATCTGAGCATTAAGATGAATACAAGTATTAAAAAAAGAAAAAATAATTCAATATTTCCAGAAATATTATTTAAGTATTTGAATATATGTAATTGGGTTCTATTTGAATGTATATTTGAGTACTGTTTAAGCATTTGAATATATATATATATATAAGATATCACATTATCATGAGTGGATCTCATTGTCAATACTGATATCAATAATTTATACAAATTCAGGAATATGAACCTTACATCTAGTATTTATATACTCGATACTTTATATCACTCAAATATTTCGTGTTCTTATCATATCATATCATATCATATAACACTCGATTTATGAACATTACAGGTTTACTGTTTAATCCGTAATAATCTAAATTTTTTGTGAGAGTACATTTTTGGAATATTTTGATTAAAAAAAATCGATAGAAATAGCCAATATTTGTATTGAAAGGTTCAAACAGGTGGTTATCAATCAAACTATATTGACGTATATCTTAACGTTCTTTACGTCTTTCACGTCCCGAATTATTAATTATGTTCATTTTCCATTTCTGAACTATTTTGCTTTTAAAATAAGCTGAAATTTTCATCGCTACAACCAATAAGTCAGTCATCTCTTAATGCTTTTTACAATATTATGCGTCATCTTTTATTTCAAAAATTTTTTTCTCATTTATATAAATAGATGATAAAATCGGTCAATGTTTTCATTTTTAAAAAATACACCTATGATTTAACATTTATTTAAAATAAATGGAATTTTCATTTCTTTATTTTTTTCTTTTGAATTTCAACAATTTCCATGCAAAAAGCAAAAAAAAAAAAAAAAGAGGTAAATATATTAAAACTACAAATATATTTCATTTTGTTTTCTTTTTTTCAACATAAACACTGATAATTTCAAATGCTATGATGATTAATCGGTATGAACTTTCTTTTTTCATTTTTTTTTCTTTATTCTTTCCTTTTCTTTTTTCTTATCACTTCCTCCTCATTTCTCTTATCACTTTTCTTTTTTCTTTCCTTTCTCTTATCATCACTTCCACTCATTCACTTTTTTCCTTTAACTTTTCCAAAAGAAAAAAAAAATGTTTGAAATTAATGAAGCTTAATAGCAATTACTTCACCTTTTCATATACAAACTGATTAAGAAGAACAAGAAAAAAGCGTGGAAAATTATCACTGTGATATGATATGATAAGGAGACAAACAGACAGACAGACATGCACATACACACATACACACATACACACACATGCATGCATGCACATGTTGAGGCATAAATAGTTGTTTTTGTTGAAAGTGTCGGAGGAGGAAGATTATAAATTGGTTTTGAGAGATATCTTTTCTCAGCAAACAACAAGGACGGTGGGCAACAGCGGTAGTAGCAGTGGCAGTGAAGTAATATGAGATTGGCGCAACAGTCGTGCGGTACTGAACCGATTAGTGATAATGATAAATGTCATCATGTTATCACTGCCAATGAAATGGTGCAAAGTTTTGCTAATCGGTTAGTTTGTCATTTAATTTTTTAATTAATTATATTTGTAATTAACATTAATTTTGTTATATTATGTTTTATTTAATTTTATGCATTTCTTTTTTTTTTTTTGTCTTATTTGTTTTATTTTGATTTAATTTATCATCAAATATGTTTTTGTTTTTTGTTGTAAATGTGTGTGTGTGTTTGTTTCTTTGTTGATTAACAATTATGATAAGATTAATTTTGTGTGGTGCCATTTTGTGTTGTGGTATTTGTATCAAATTTTAGATTGATTAAATTTGTTAACTGTTGGTTAATGATAATTCATTATCACTCCTTATCACATGTCATATCAATCTATTTACATTTGATAGGTCTTTAATAATAAATGAAAGATGAATAACAATGAATAATTAATTGGTTACTAAATTAGTTGAAATTATTTCAGAACTTCTCCTCACTAATGTAATATGTCTAAATTTTATTTTTTCAATTCAAATGTCACACCATGAATTTTTATCGAAATTCTTACACCAAATTATCTTCAATAAACTTTTGAAATTTCAAAAGAAAAAAATTTTAAATATTTAATGGTAACAAATTAAAATACCTAATAGTTGAAGAAGAAAGAAGGAAAAAGAGAGAGAGAGAGAGAGAGGGAGAGAAAGCGATTGCTTGACAGCATTAATTTGTCACTCTGAAGCGTCATTTGTTTTTGCTTCGAGCAAACTGAAAAAGCTTCAAGAAGCTTTGTTCAAGATTTAAGTATCAATGATTAAGTTTTTTTTCTGTGTTGAAATAAAATGGTTGCAGTAACAAATCATAGTTTATCAATTGAAACAGCTAAGAAATGAACTTTCTTTTTTTTCTTTCCGGTTGCATTCTCACATAACTTTCTTCATTTTTTTGTTTATGTTATTTCATTTTTTTCTAAATAAATAAATAATTGTTTTAAACACACTACAGAAATCGCAAAAAAGTTTTGCGAATAATAAATTTTTTCTTATTGCTATTTACCTCAATTATTTGCAACATTCAGTAAAATATGATTCAGATGAATGATTTGAAAATTTGCAGAAAATAAATCGGATCGTTGAATTTGTTTTATCCTATATCATACTAATCATTAATTATAACTATTATAAGCAAATGATAGTAATGATAATGAAATCAACCATGTGATAAGAAAAGATGATGAATTGACGTTGACAAGATTAACTGAACGATGACAATTTTATTAAATAATCATGTTTATAATATAGTTTTGAAAAATGAATGGATTTTGAAATTTTTAAGAAAAACGAAATAATTTTCAGAATTTTTTCGAATATTTTATCATTTCCAACAATTATCTCTCGTTTTCATTTCAGATAAATATCATTTGAAAGTAATTTAAATCAACTGTTATTTTTTAATTACTGAATTGTTATTTTATTAAATTTTATGATCCGAAATTCCTGATCTAGTCTCCAATCCAGTTTCTGAAATAATATGATCTTCAAATATCATAAGAATGATCATTTCATTCCATTTCTTTTGCATTGACTAACTATTTTGATTTTTGCTTGAAATTTTAAATATTTATGCAAATTTATGTATTGTCGAATTTTGTTTTAAATATCTAAAAACTAAGCAATAAGTATTTCTATAAAAAAATGAAAATGATTGCTTATATTTAACAAATTTATCGATTTAATTTCTTATTATTTTAATTTCTTAATGGTTTCATTTTTTTTCCATTATTTCGTAAAAGTTTTGTAACTATAAATTTACTAATAATTTGAAAGCAATTTTACAAATACTTTTTCTTTTCTTTTCTTTTTTTTTTTTTTTTTTTGAATTAGCTAAAAACAAATAATTATAATTTGTCATATAGATCAATGCCACCAAGCAAAATAACACCATTATCATCCAATAATTGTGGCACAAAAGCTGACGATTTTTTGCGCAAATTCAGTAATGCATCTGTAAACAGTTCTCAAAAGTAAGCTAAATTAGTTATTTTTCTTCAAATAAATTTTAGTAAATTTAAAAATTGCTTTGTAAAATTTTTTTTTTAAAAAAAAAAAACAATTTTTTCTTAGTTTAGTGATATAAAAAGTTTTTCCTTACTAATTTTAAGATAACAAAAAAAAAAGAAAACGAAAGTTATCATAAAATATCGATATTACTATCAATAATTTCATCTATCTCATTTCTTCCAAAATTCAACAGGGAATCATCATAAACAACTGAATTTGTCGTATATCAGAATGTATAATTGGATGATTTATGAGATCCATTTCTTAGCAAAAAAAAAAAAAACAAAAACAAAAACAAAAAAAAAATGAAATAAAATAAAATTGAAATAACTTTTTCACAACTTTATTCAATCTGATGTATTTTACTTATAAAATTGTTATTAAAAATTTTTCACAGATATTTCTTAAGAGAAAAATTTTTTCAATTATTAGCTTATTAAACCAATCATTGGACGCTATTGTTTTCGGTTTTTTCTTTTTCCTTTTGCAGTAAGAAAATTATCTCTGAGAGACATCGAAAAGAAAATAAGAGAAAAGGCTGAAATTATCCTTACATATATATATGTATACTGAATCGAAGATTATCTCAATTTAATCATATTTGATAGTTTTAGTTTTATAAATTAACAAAATAATATTGCTATTAAATCACTTATAAACTTATAAATGCGAAGCAAATTAAGTTTTGACATCTTTCATTCAGTAAAGTACATTATTTTTTATGCTTGATAAATTTTAAAAATTAATTTTTGTAGATGAACTCTTTGTGCTAATAGAATATTCTCGATAACCGGAAATTAACCGAATTTTCTCGATACAGCTAATAGATTAAAATTATTTTTTAAATGAGTTTCTCCTGCAGTTGCATTTTAAATTATCTCAGCTTTGTAGAAAAAAAAAAGAATCTGTTTCATAGTTGAAAATTTGGAATTTTCTTTCTTTTTGCAAAAATTTGATTAAAGTGTAAATTTTTTTTTTGAAGTTGAAATAAATAATAGCATTCAACCAAAGATTATCAGCAGTAATCGAAGAAGAAAGTGTCACCAGCGATTAATAAATAGAGCAGAAAAATTGATGAAAAATTTTTCTTGAATACTGGGCGATTGAAAAAAAAAAAAAAAAATTTTACAACTTTTTAGCTCCAGTAATTTATACGGAGAAATGTTATGCAAATCAAAATAGTATTAAATTAATTTTAATTAAGCTTGAATTTGTAATTTGATGAATTTAATGTAATGAGGATAATTCGAATGGTATATTTTATAATGGTTTAGTAAAATTCATTAAGAAATAAAGTTAATCAATGAAATATTTGCACAGATGTGAAAAATTCAATTTCTTTCTTCTCTAATCAATTATTTTTTTAAATCTAATCTAAATTTAAAATTTTCTAAATCTAAGCTAATGCTTTTTTTTAATATGAAATTAGAAAAAGGTTTTACATAAGTTTAGCACAAGCCATGAAGATGAAGATTGCCTGAATAAATAAAGAATATTAAATCATCTCAATCGTTATACAAATCCTCTTTAAATCAATTTCGTTAAAATTTCATTTCATAAATAGTTCAAATATCACTCGAAAATGGGAATTACGAAGCCTTAGAAGAGGTGAAACTGCGCGTGGCGCTATCGGCCTGTTTAATAGTAAACATAACAGTAATGCCTCTTCAGCTACAGATAATTCGAATAAATTGAAAATAAAGTATGCTTTTTAAAGTTTTCAATTTTTTTTTTTCTCATAGAAACATGAAAATAGCCTTTAACTAATGCATATTATTCACATATTTATATTATTGCTCATAAAAGATTAATTTACAGATTAATTGTCTTGAACATAAAAGTTAGCTCAAATTTCAAAATTTAAAATTCAAATCCTTCTTATTTATGCATATCCTAGTCTGCGCAATAAATCTGCTTCGTTGGAAGAAACTAATATTGTCGCTAACGGTATGCAAAAAATTTGTAGAAACAGGAAAGACTCTAATATTTCTGATAGGTAATTTAATTTGTTTTTTAATTAATATTTTTTAAAAATAAAAGTAATTTTTTCAATTTTTTTTACGAAGTATTTTTAATCAGTACATCGAAAATATGAGCGATCAATTAACTGAACTGATGAAAAATGTTACACTAAAACAGTGAAACAGTTCCAATACTATAAAAATTTTTTGAAAATTGAAATATCTGACTGAACTTTTACAGGTTGAACTTAATATTAAAGTCCATATTTAGAAGAATATTTGTAAATAAACAAATAAAAATTTAAATATCAAAATTGTATAACAGTGAAAGTGAGTGTCAGTCGAATTTGCGAATGATTGGTAGAAGCGCACGTGACACAATTAAAATGTTCAATAATATTGCTAATGAAACAAAGGAGAAACTCGACAGGTACACTTTGAAATTCATATGCTTTCTTCAAATCATAAATATTTTTTCAGAGTTTTAAACTCTTACAATTTTTTCCTCCCTTTTTTATTTATTAATTTTATTTTCTATTGTGAATAAATTTGCATCAACTTAAAAAATTTTTGTATCGAAAAGTTATATCTCTGCTTGATGTTTATTTTCTTGGAAGATTTTTAAATTAATTAAAATTTCTCAATTCTAAAAAATTTACTTATACTCATTTTTTTTTTGCTAACAATTTAATTATTTTATTGGCCATTATTTCATTGATCATTTCATAAATTTGATAAATAAAACATCGTTTGTAGGAATCCATTTTCATCAACTTATACAGCACCTAAGTATGATACAAGTGCGCAAGATTACGGTCGACCAACGCATGGATCTAAAACGGAAGCACGTGGTATTAGAGCAGGTGTGCTGTAGTTTTTTTTTTGTAAATTTTTGGGAAAAAAAAAATGAATCAATTTTTTTTTTTAAGAAAAATGAAATCAATTAAACTTTCTATCTAGCATTTACTCTAGATATAATTTAAAAATAAGCTATATTTTAATTATAATACTATTTTAGGTGACACTTGAATATTTTAACATTGAATTTATTATTTAAAGTGATCAAAAAATTTTTCAGGAGATTATGTAATGCGTGAAGTATTATTTCTATGTGAAGTGATAAATACGCATGCAGAAGGTGAACCACCAAATCGAGTCATTCGATTTGGTCCATTATTCTACATCTATGCACATTATTCTGATAAAGTAATTTACTTCTGCATTTGCATAAAATAAATAATTAGAATTTTAAATTTTAAAGAAAATAACTTTTGAAGAGATTAAATGCTTAGGTGCCAAATATTAATGATTATACTTCCCAATTTTTACCTTATGCATAAGTTATAAATTTTTCAAGTAATTTTTAAAATTTTTAATTTTTTTAAGTAAATCTTAAGTAAGTAATATCAGGTTAATCGTATTCTTCAAGTTGTACTCTGTTTTATGCACGTTGTTAACGAAATCGTAGCATTTGTAGAAATTGCAATAAATATAACTAATTAGTGATATATTATTTATGTAATTTATTCATATAAATTTGATCAGAAATAAGTGAGAGAAGAATTTAAAAGCAAAAGGAATGTAGAAAGAAAATATGTTGAAAAAAAACGATAATATAGAGTATAAGCATATAACTTTCAATCATTATGATACCCACTAAATGAAAAATTGTCTTTCAAAATTTCAATTTCAATAAAATTTAAATTTTATCCTTCTGTTGGTAGTTTAATCCATCATTGCAGTTAGTTGGAATGTTAATTCGAGCCCGAAAATACAAGCTGGTCGATTTTGAAGGTGAAATGTTGTATCAAAGACAAGATGATGATAAAATCATACGTTTGCTGAAACCAATCGAAGAAATACGAAAACTTGAACCTTCCGGTGATCCAGTTAATTGTATTTCAGTCACTAACAACAATGGTGTATGAATTCGATTCTTATTTTAATTATTAATTAATCAGGTGTTCTGTTGATATCTCATATTTTTTTGCGAATTTTATTTTTGACTTTTGAAATGGGTATTTCAAAAGCACATAAATTAATGAATATATATATATATTTTGATCTTGTTCATAATTAAACTATTTTTACACTAAGACTTATAAGAAATAAAAATAAAGGATTAAACAAGTGAGAAATAATTTGCTATTCAAAAGCTTAAAATCCCAAAGAAAAAATTAAAAATACGCTACCACCGCACATTGTTATTATTAAAATATCAGAGCTTACATTACTAGTTAACCTTCCATTACTAAAATATATATTACTATTAAATAAATATTTAACAAACGCTTCATTTGCTTGCCTTTAATCAAATTTAAAACAAAACAACAATCTGTAAAAGGAAATAAGCGAAACTCAATTGTGATTAGTGACAAATGTTGGATTTATAATTCAACCATTAATTTAGTTATGGATGATTTTTCATCAAAATTTTTAATTAATTGTTGTGTCATTCTCAGTTCAAATGCAAATAAAATTTAAAGAACAAACTGAAATTTGATATATTTGTTGTGAAATACGGTCTGATTGAAAATATAGCATAGAGACGAATATTTGTTGCTTTGCAAAGAAAACGCTTGATTAATCTTTATTTTATTGAAATAAACATTCTCACTGGTCGTAGTTACTGAAATATATTAGAAAGCTTAAGGAAGTAATTATAGGAAGACAGTGAGTGCCAGATTGCCATCCGGAAAACCTAATTTCAATAAAGGTTATAACCATTCCTTGTGTAATAAACATTAACTCATAATAAGACGAATGATCTTCAGCACCGTAGTCAATCACCAGCTTCTAATATAATTTTCAGTCAATAAGGAAATAACAAACAACAAAAGAGGTTAACTAAATAAGAAGTTAAGTTAATTAGTGACAAATTTTAGCACTCAAATTTAGAGCTTAATTCTGAACTTATTTGACACTTGTTGTTTTTTTTTTATAATTATACTCTTATCATATCTGATCTTTGAAAAATAAAACAAAGGAAAATCTATAAAAACTTTGAGTAGGAACATATGTAAAATGATGAAATTTAAAAATATATGGCACGAATATTATTTCCACTTCAATTTTGACATTATATTACTTTTAGTCTTTAATTAATATGTTGAATTTTTTTTTTCTTTAATTATACAGTCAATAAGACTTTTTGTTTCTAGCAATGAAATTGATCAAAATATGATTTTATAAAGTTCTAATAAAATTGCAAAATTGAAATTTATCATTATAGCAAATTTATTTTAAGCTTATTGGCATTCTTTTTCATACTTCGTCTTCATCAGATATGATCTGCTTATATGCTGTCGCCCATTGGATATGGCGTCTCTTCAGCACGGTTAATTAATTAAAATGTTGATAAAGTAATAGAATAACTAATATGATTTGAATTTACTTTTGACACAAAAATGAGTTTTACTTCTTGAATTATGATTGAAGAGTTTCAGTTAACGTCAATTTTAGCCATTTTCAACGATATTTCTTTTCTTATTTTGAGACTTTATCAAAATTAAGTGACAAATTTGAAATCCTTTACTATTATTTTGAACAAATTTTTCATTTAACTTGTCATTACGTCCTTATTCGTCCTTTTTTTTTAGGTTTCTCACTGTCGAAACAAAAGTGGAATATTGGTATTGCCGATATAATGGTAAATATATTCGACCTAAAATGATGGTTAGTTCTTCAATCACTTCCATCAAATGATAATCCTTACTACTTGCTGATTTTTTCAGTTACATATGATAGGAGAAAATGCTCGAGGTGCAATTCTTGAACAAGGACTGATTAAATTTCTGCAAAAAAGTCAAATTTTTATTTGTTTTTTTTGATTTGGTTCTATCGTATTATGAAAGGAGAAATGGTTTGTTCTTACAGAAAGTGTAAGATGCGTCTGGATCTTCAATTAAAAATATTTGGCTATATTCTTTATCTGCTTTCAAAACTATTTCTAGGAAGTGATGTGAAATCTCGATATGATCTTCACTGATCGAAATTAAATATCTATTGATTACAGGATAATGCGATGTTCTTGAAAAAATATCCGCTTCTGTTAGTGAAACCACCTGTAGCAAACAAAAAAATTTTTTAATTGAAGATCCAGAAGCTTTTTCCTCACTTCAGTTTTCTTCCGCTACATTACATTTGTCTTTTGAACTTTAAATTGTCCAATTTCCGTACATAATAAAGCATCTTACACTTTCTGTAAAAACAACCATTCCCTGAAACAAAGAACTTTCTTTGTCCATGTGCGCACACAAACAGTCTCATATACAGAGCCATATATCCTCATTTTAAGTCATTCGTAAAGCAGTTGGGGCCACGAAGCGGTCGGAACATTTATCCTTATTGCATTCTAATAATGGTTTGTAGGAGCAAATTTTTTTTTAAACTATCAATTATCATCCTTGGACTCTATTATTTACAGGAAACCTAATGAAATGAAAAAACATCAAAATTTCAATGAAATGAAAAAACATCGAAATTTAATGAAATGAAAAATGAAAAAACATCGAAATTTCATTTGGTTGCAACTGCATAAAGATATGTACTTAAACTTGAATTTTGATATATTTTAAATTCGGTTTCACTTTCTTCTAATTTTTTATTAGCCACTAAATATGTAGGATTTTTAAAATAGATTTCAATTATTGAATGTTTAAATAGATTTACGAATTAAAGTTTGCTTCTTTTTATATAAAATATTCTAAGATTAATGAAAAATATTTACAAGTACGAACAGTTGATATTAAAACACAGAAGGCAGATGGTGATATAGCTGACGGAGCTCCTTCTATTGGCAATTTGATCACCTCGCGAGGAAGAAACAACGAAGTTAGTTATCTTTTGTACTTGCAGTTAAGTAACAAGCAGTTAGGTGTAGATGCTTTAGGTATGTCTCTTAATAACGAACCATTAATTAGCCTTTTTTGTTAAGCTTATTGTTATTTTGTGGTTTTCTTTACTTTTTATGTTATTGTTGGGATGTAATGTTTAGCTTTATTTTATAAATGAAATGTTTTGACAGTCCGCTTGTGTATGGTATTGTTGTTTGGACGAATCGAAATTAAATTAAGGCACAATTAGAAGTAAGATGAGTTTAGCTGTACTGGTCTGTGTGCGCACATGGACAAAGGAAGCTCTTTGTTTCAGGGAAGGTTGGGACGGAAATGTGAAGAAGGATTACTTATTATTGTTTTTCATTCTTAAAGAGACTGTATAAACCTAAGTGTAGTGCTAATCGATTGGGTGAATTGGGCCTCGGCCCCATAGACTGTGGCATATGTGAGGAAGGGCCAAGTGAGGAGGAGCCAACGGGTGGGCAAACACATCTCAAAAAAGCGTACAGTACAGATAGTCAGTGAGGATAGGACGGAAACGAGCAAAAGTGGGCACACACAGCAACTGGCACTATTAGATGGGGAGGGGAGGGTATGGGGATTGTAAATAATTATGATTTAAACGTTTGTTTTTTTTTTTTTCAGCAAAAGCTTGGTAATTTTATCAAATTTTAATTATTTTATGATAAATTCATAATTTTAATTGTTCTTATTTATTTTAGTTTGCTTAACTGATTTATTTATTTTTTCAAAATATTTTAAAAGATGATAAATAAATGATATTTTTTGTAATTTTAACAGTTTCTTAGCGGTAAATTAATTTGTAGATTTTATTGGAATTTACAAATATTATTGATCCAACTTTGTTAATTGTGATTTCTCTTTTTTGATCATACTACAGTGACTCTTTCTTATGTTGCATGCAACATGCAGAAAACTAACTCTCCTAACGATGTACAACAAATGCGCTCCTATTGAATATTCATAACGATCGGACCTAGCAATTGTCACATCTCACACTCCTCAACCTAACAAGACCGCCCCGCCGAGATTATAAGTACAAATTTTGAGCGAAGATAAATTCAATCGCTGTCGACGTGTTTGCGTAAAAAAGAACAAAAGGAGTTACTGTAGTATTAGAAAGGAAAAAAAAAGAATTTCTCGGCATATGTGTGCATACTAGTAAGGGACAGTCTCGACATTCATTAGGGAAAGTGAACACTTATTGTAATTGCTTTGTTCCACAGCAATGCGTCTACACAGTTCTCAATTGTGATCTTTGCGATGACATTGATGCATTTTGTCTCGAGTTTGGATTCTTCTATTTTCGAATGAGTATCAAAAATTTTAACAGCTATGGATGTGTGTCGTGTATTTTTAAAATTCGTTGTCGCATCAGAAGTCGTTAAGCTTCAATTTATTCAATTATATTTGTGACACTTAATGTACAATATTTCTTACATGTCAAATTGGGAGGTCTTTTACTCTTTTTTTAATATATATGTAACGTTCGTTTTTTCAATTTGTTTGACGTTTGTTGGATATAACTGCATGCCATCTTTTTAATAATATATTGCTAACCCCGAGACAAAGTATTGAGAATTGAGCAGAACATTCCTTCTAATTTCAAAAGTTTCAGAAAACTGATGATAACATGTGAAGGTGCATTTCCTTTATTAACAAATGCCAACAAACTGTTAAAATCGAGTGAAATGCATAGTTCGTATAAAACGAACAACAAACAATTATGTAAATAACACAAAGAAAAGCAAAATGAAATGATTGTACTGCAAAAAAAATTTTAAATTGTAGTGAAACATCTGAAAAGGGAAAACTGATACCAAGTTTTCTGAAACTGATGAGGAAATAAAACCACCATCATTTTTTCCAAAAAAGTTTCACCTCAAGAGTTTTGAAGCTTAATTTTAGCGTGATAGTCAATAAAAGTGGGTAATGAGCAAATAACGCAACCGCCAGGCCTTTTTTACCTACCTCAATTATTCCTGCTAAATAATCACAACTGGAAAAAGAATATGGTTTCTTACATTGGCTTAATTCAAAGTTATAAACTGTAACAACTCTGAATGGTTCTGACACGCTCAATTAACTTTTCAAATGCTTCACTCACCTCGAAATTAGGAAATTTAATGATACAGAACAAAAACCATAAAATTGCTACCATTTAAAGCGTTTTAATAGTTTTAAATAGATAAGCAACCCTAAACATAAATGAATTTCTTCAAGAAAAATTTTCAAGCCGAATTAAAGTTCTTACGTAATAAATTACAGTTACAGGAAATACTTTTGTTGACGTTAAATCAGACTACTCTGTAGAGACTTCTCTGACAGTTTACTCTTCCAAAAAGGTACGGCAACTGAACTGAAAAGTAAAAGTATTAAAACAAACACCGAAAGTAGTAGGAGTGCTGAAATAAAAGAACTCTTTCAAAGCATGCATCAATTAATTCAAAACTACAAATTTAAAAAGAGTGGGGATGAAAGGGTGTAGAAAGGAACATGTAAAGTCCTCCACCTGAAATATATGTTAAATTATGGGATGCATTGCATAAACATTGAAGAAATTAATAGGATTACCAGAAAACAAATTGAATTATTCAACAAATCATTTCCATTACATACTTTCGTCTTGAAAAACGCAAAACAAAAAAAAAAAAAAATGAAATTGAATAAACAGCTTACCTATTTAGCAAGCGAATAAATTAATGAATCCAGCAATAAACAATTCTGCAATAGTTTCGATACATATACCTACAAATAAAGAAGAATTTCCTTCTCAACTCTGAGTCTTGTCTTAGGGTTAACAGCATTCTATACATACCATTGTTAGTTTAAATAAAAAAGCAAAGATAACATAATAATCTGAGTTTACTCCTTGAAGTGGAATTGAAGCATTCGTAGAATAACACAAAATTAGTTTCAACACTTTCAGAAAATTGATGATTTTGTTATGGCCATATGATATACAATACAATAACAAATATCAAGCTTTAAAGTCTCCCAGTTTTGGCCACAAAACATAATTGCACATACATAAAGTGACGACTAAGGACTTTTGTCAGATTACATATTGATCAATAGATATTGAAATGAAAATTTTCTAACATTTATTTCAGACGCATAAAAGATCTCAAACTCGAGAAATGTGGCAAAAATCCAAATCTAAATATAGCCGCGAGAAAACAACAAACACCAAACAATCACAATTGACTAAACTACAGCAAAACAAAAATTGTACACCTCTCATCTCCGAGCAAAACAATTACAATAACTGTCCGTCCATTCGCTTTACAAATGCCCAGAGCGCCTCCTACTAGTTATACTCATATATGTCGAGAATCTTCGACTTTTTGTTCTTTTACACGTAAACAAGTATTATCTTCATTCAAAATTTGTATGTATAACCTCAGCGGGGCGGTCTTGTTAGGAGTGTAAGAGAAACATAACAATTACTAAGTGAGAGCGCATTTGTCGTGCATCGTTAGGAGAAGTAGTTTTCTGCAAAACGGCAAATTAATTGATCCCTTTGTTGACTTGCTTGCAACATAAGGAAAGGGTTACTGTAGTACGGTCAAAAAGAAGAAATGAAAAAGACATATGTGAGGATACTAATTTGGGGCGGTTTTGGTTTATTTTACAAGCGCTTCAATATTGCTTCAAAGCGATGATGCCACATTATTATTACGTTATCTTCGATTTTAATGAATAGCGGAGAGTACACAGAGTGCATTTCTTGATGTGAAATCAGTTGAATTTCTCTTCACTTAATATAATATATAAATGCATTAATGATGTGAAAAACAATGATATAAAATATCTGAAAAATTGCTTCTTTCAAAGATTAGTTTTAATTTTATAAATTAACAAAATAATATTGTTATTAAACCATTTACAGGTTTATAAATGTGAAGTAAATTAAGTTTTAACATCTTTCATTTAGTAAAGTACATTACTTTCTATGCTTAATAAATTCTATATTTTTTATAGATGATGTCATTGTGCTAATAAAAAAGAAAAAGTGATTTAATTTGTTTTTTAATTGATATTTTTAAAAAAAATAAAAGTAATTTTTGCAATCTTTCCACGAAGTATTTTTAATCATATGAGCGATCAATTAATTGAATTGATGAAAAATTTTACACTAAAACAGTGAAACAGTTCCAATACTATAAAAATTTTGTGAAAATTGAAATATCTGATCGAACTTTTATAGGTTTAACTTAAAGTCCATATTTAGAAGAATATTTGTAAATAAACAAATAAAAATTTAAATATAAAAATTGTATAACAGTGAAAGTGAGTGTCAGTCGAATTTGCGAATGATTGGTAGAAGTTTTTTAAAATGTTCAATAATATTGCTAATGAAACAAAGGAGGAACTCACAGGTACACTTTGAAATTCATATGCTTTCTTCTTCAAATCATAAAAAATTTTTCAGAATTTTGAACTCCTACAACTTTTTCTTTTTTTTTTCATTTACTAATTTCATTTTCGATTAAGTGAATAAAGCGATGTGAAAATGGGTGGATATGAAAATGTCTCGTTTGACGTTATTCATGGGATATTTTTTTTTGTAAATTTAAAAATTTTCTAATCTTCCTTTCTATTTCTCATATATAATTTTAATGTAGATTCTTTCCTTGAAAGTTTAGGAAACTTTTAATCCTTTAGAAGAGCACAGGAAGCTTTGACCAATTCAAACTTTTTACAAATATTTTGAAAAAATTTGCATATTTAACAAGTGACACAAGCAAAATATTTAAACGGAAAGTTCTTGAAACAAATTAATAATAAGTGTCAGTTAAAAAAGAAGAAAAGGTATCGGTTGGTTTTAATTTCTGATTTGCACAAATGTTGGGGAATTCATTTATGTAATCTAGGTAGATAAAAAAAAAAGAAAGTGGACAAGTGGTTTTGGATTTGAAAAAGTAGGCTGAATTTCCTTTTCATTTTAAAATCGGAATAAAAAAGAAATATGAGAACAAAATTACGATCAGGAAAGGCATATATGCACAAATAAAAAAATTCATAGAAATAAAGGAGTATGAAGATATAAAGAGAAAACGAGAGAGAGAGAGAGAGGAAGGGGGTGGAGAGAAAGAATGAAGATGCTTTAATGAGTTAAATAAATTATAGATTTGATTTGGTAATTGAAATCAGAATTCGATCAATTTCAATTTCAAATTTTTTTTTTTGTCAGATTTGAATAATTTAACTTTTTCATTGCAGTTCTTGTGTGAAATTTTGCTCAGTTAAGGATAATACAATTAGCTGATAATGCAGCAACATAATTTTTATCGACTAAAATTAGGTAAGAAATGGAAAAAAAATGTTGATTACACTAATAATAATCAGTAAATTTGCAATGCATATTTGTGAAATACCAGTTATAACAAGTAACTGGGAATGTTGCAAAAGAATTATCCGGTAAAAATCCGGTAAAAAAATGTATTTAATTTTATTTCTAAAAATTATGAAGCAAAAGCAAGAAAGAAATGCTTGAATATCTTTATTGGTTTCGATAATCAATTTTTCCAGCAAACTTTATTTTTCAGGAATTAGAATTTTTCAATTATTACTATTATTATTAATATTATTATTATTATTACTATTATTAGTTATTATAATTATTGTTACTATCATTATTATTAATATTGTTATCAGTATTATTACTATTTATTATTATTATTGTCATCATCATTATTATTACTATCATTATTGTTAATAAAATTTCAAATTTTAAGAATAATAATTTCAATATCAAATAATAATATAATATGTTTTCTTCTGGAGTATGTCTTTTCCTAGGTTTGCAAATTTCAGGTTTGCCAGGTACGACTAAAAGTGAAGTTTTACAAGGAAAATATGCTAAACTAATCCTTCCAGCTGCTAGTAATGATTATTTGGATGCTGTTGTTACACATGTTGAATGTAAAATTATCCATTCATTTCATAATTAATCATTCCTTTTTAAAGAATTTTACAAGTAATTTAATCATGTTATCATTGCAACTGTTCATTTTAAATTTGTAAATTAATTATTTGTTTATAGCATGGACTACAGTTCATATACAATTAGCAAATGCTTATCATATATTATCAAAATTGCAAAAAGAACTAAAACGAATATACCATACCACCAAATCACTATCAAATCCTCTCTCAGGTAATATTGATAATGGCAACAGCTGTTTTATAAGAAGAAATTAATCTGTATCAATTAAATATTGTGTTGAGAATTTTGAGATTTGAGATAAATCAGAAAACTATTCATTTTGAAAACATTGCTTATTGATCAGTTTGATTACGATTACTTGTTATATTATAAGACATAATGTGGAAAAAAAAAAAAACTAAACTAAATAATTTTAGAAAAAATAAGATAGAGAAAAAGATTAAATCAAATAATAAAATTTTTTTTTTTTAAATATGAAATAATGTTCGGTTAAAAATCTTACAGGTTCAGCTGGAATAATGAAATATGGCTTACAAAATGAATGCTATCGTGTACTTATTATTAAACGTATCGATCCAACATTAATATTTGTAAGTTATAAAAATATGAGTAAAAATGAATATGTTAGAAGTTTTATGATGATTAAAGTTTATCGCAATATTGTCCTAAAATTTGATGACAATTTTTTTCTTTCATTTAATTTAATTTCTTTTGCATTTTAATATTGTTTTTTTTTTTTTTTAAGAGATTTTTTTATCATTCATTTGTTATCTGTTATAATATATTTGCCAGGAAAAATTATGTTAAAATTTTTTAACTTTGCAATTAAAATAAAAATTTCAAACTAACCAAACATTTAACTGTCGTAACTGTTATCCATCTTTTTTAAATGCCTTATATAGGAGATTTTTTGATAAAATTTATTTCAGTCAATGAAATATTTGTTTAAATAAATTTTCATTGATTTAAACAAATAGCTTAGTGATTGGATGAGCTTAAAAATAATATTTTAATTACAAGCTAAAAAATTTAACTTGAATGTTTTAATTGCAATTTTCAAATTTTTTTTTTGATAAATGTGTTTTTTACAAATAATAGATGGTGATTAATTAAATTTGATCATCAATTATCTAGCAGTAACTTAATGTAAAAGATAATATTTGTGTAATAATCAAGGTACGATTTGTCGATTTCGGTTATACAGATGTTGCAACAAAACAGCTAATTCATCCAATACCAAAAAATTTAACTGCCATACCTGGTCTGTTTAACATTTAGCACCTAATACTTATACAAAGTATGATTGATCTGATTTTTTCTTTTTTTTTTACTTTCAATGATTTAACATTTGGTTTTAAATAAAAATTTGATTAATCTAATTTAGTTATTTTTTGCATTTGTAATTTGTGTTACAAATATTTTTTTTTTTTTTTTTTTTTTGGGGAGGGGGGAGCGGGGGAAGGCTAATTTAGTTATGTTACTAAATAATTGTCAGAAGATTTTAATTATTGCTAAATTGTAGAAGAAATGAGATGATTTTGTAGCTCAAGCATTTCCAATACGAATGGAATTAAAACAAGGCATAGCTGGATCAGTGTCCTTTAATGCTTTTCGAAAATATTTAACAAATGCGCAAGTTATCATTCAATTAGGTTTATCAGTTTATCAGTTTTTTTTTTTTTTTCGCTTGTTTATCTTGCATCAAATTAGAATTTAACAGTGAAAAAAGTAACTAATTTTGGCCGAAAATTTGTAAATTTAAACATTTGATATTAACATATAAGAGATTAGTGTAGTAGGTAAAAGAAGTTCGATTTTGATTATAAAAATATAGAAATGAATGTCAGTTGATTATTGCTCTAATTTTTTTTATCAATTTTGAACATTTCAAATTGTGTTTAATTTCAATATTAACATCTTGCGTAAAATAAATACTTCTGGGGTTTACTAAGATTACTTCAAAACCAAAAATGCATTTTGCACAATCATTTTGTGTTATTAAACTTATATAAATTTTCTAGCCAAAAAATAAAATAAAATCTTAAAAAAAATTAAAACTGATTTTCGGATGATAATATTTTTGCGAATGACAAAAATGCAGGTAATAAAATTGTGAATGATTCTTTCATGGGAGTTATACATGTGATTGATGAAAGTAATAGATGGCATTGGATGAATGAAGCGATTGAATCAAAAATTCCTATCAAAAAGTATTTAAATATTTCTATAAAATATGTCAAATTCAAATAAAAAAGTTCGCTTAGTTAACATATGATCGGAAAAAAATAAAAATAACTATTAAAATTTAATTTAAAACCATCTGTACGTTTAATTATAAGTATACAATTGATGATTTCATATTTATGATCAAACTCATTATGTTTTATAAATTCATTTCTCTTTAATAAATCAGTAAATCATAGTTTTTATTTTAATTAAAATAAGTAAACCCAATATTTTGCAAAATATGTTTCGATATGAGAATAATGAAAAATTATTTCTAAAGTCTAAAATTTTGAAACTTTCTTTTAATATAATTAGTTTTTCAAAAAAACTATACTTTACTTGAAGTGATGCAATAACCAATTACTAAGTTTTTACATTTAGATTAGTGATCAATGATAATGAAGGTGAAGAAATGATGGCTTATATCAGTGATGATTTTAATAATCAGCCAATGAGGATGATAATCAAGCCATCCGGAAAAATTGATTCAATAGAAAATGAAAATAATCCGAAAATGATTGATCAGCACAAAAATAATGATAATCAAATAAATGATAACGATTGGAAAAATGACCAGAATGAACAGCTTCAACTGATTGATGATAATAACAGTGATAGGAAAATTATTGTTGATAATCTTGGAAATAAAATTGTGATAGATAAAAGCGATAAGGAAACGAATGGTGCAGAAAGAAAATATGAGAATCGAGGAAAAAATTATCGAAGTTCAGCACAAATATCAGGAAATAATCAGAATCATCAAGGTAAAACTGATTTTGTTTAATGTTATCATTTGTTTAACAGTTTTTTAAAGTATTAGTGTTATCATCGGATGAAAAGTGATAAGTTAAATATTTTGCATTGAAACAATTTTTTATTTGATTTTCAAGCAATTTCAATTAGGATTTAAATTTTGTCAACAAATTGAAATGAATGAAAATTCATTTTCTTTGTACTGAAGCTTAAAAGTTCAAGATTAGAAAGGTGAAGATCAAAATAACAAATGTAACATGCTAACTTTAAAGATTATTAAATTTGATCAAGTTATCGCAGAATAATTTTTTCAAGAAAAATTTTTGATGAAAATCTCTTTTTAAAATGTTAGAATAAATTTGAACAATGAAATTTTTCAAAATCTGAGAAAAAAGAGGAAGAAATTATTAAAATTTTGATAATTTTAAACGGGAATGGATAGGTTTTATCAAAGGAAACAATTATTTTGTTAAAATATATTTGATCTTAGTGATATAAAGATAAAGTAGATAAAAAATAATTTCTTTTGCTTTTTTTTTTTCAAATCATTTAAGAAAAAAAAAATTGTTTCATTATTTATCGCCATAAATTTTATTTAATTTAATCTAAATTAATTTTGTTATCACTAATTCAATGTTAAACGATATGAAACTGTGAAGTTGGCATGTTGATAACAATTATCATTTATCATTTATAGATAAAAAAGTGAATGCGATTAAACTGCGACCATTGGATGAAGCACAAAAAAGGGAAAAAAATCGTAAAAAACTATCTAAAAATGAGGAAAATGAAAATTATGAAAATTTGGATAGCTTTATATCAAGAAATTACCAAGAATTAAACAATATTACCAATAAAGTAAGATATCTCACTTCGATATTTTACTGCATTTGAAGTTTATATTTATAATTATATTGGAATTACCAATTTATTTATTTGTAACTGTAATTACCTAATTTAAATCAACAATTTCAGTTTGAAAATTTTCAAATATCAATTTAACAATTTTCAACAAATGGAGACTATCAATTAAGTCAATAATGACGCATAGCATAAAAAAAAAATTAGGTAATTATAGTTACAAATAAATAAATTTGGTAATTTCCAATATAATTATAAATTTTTTTTTCAAACATTACAAATAAAATTGTTTTATTAAAAATTAAATACAATAGGTGAAAATACCCTAACAAATTCATTTTTTTTTCCTTTGGTATTTTTTTTTTTTTTAGTCATTCATTTCATTTATTGATTTACTATTTTAGAATTTCGATAAACAACAACAAACGACACCATATCAAATTAATTTGAAAAGTTTGTTTGTTTGTTTTTGTTTTTTCTTTTAAACTATAAACCGTAATTATTAAAGAAAGGAATGAATGAAAGAAAGCATTATATACAGTAGTCAATTAATACATAACAGGAAATACGTTATCAGTTCAGAAGGTAGTTACGTAATTCCGGATGGAAACATTGAAGATAATCCGGAAATAATGATGAATATTTTGCAGTGTCAACAAATCCCGGCAATTCATCAATATGGATTATAATTCTAACAAGTCTAATAGTGGCTATTGTTTTCATTATTGCATTCGTTCGAAAACGAAAATGGATTCTATCGTTTGTTAACGAATTAAATTAAATTTTTTTTTTTTTAAATTAATTAATTAAGCTGTCGAAAAGTTATTCCAAAGTATATTGGATATTAGTGAAATGCTAATTAGAATTCAAAATTAAAACTAATCCAAGTGCTAAGTTAATGCTAATTAAACCAAGTGATTAAAAAAAGAAAATCAAATGCTAATTTATACTATTTAAAAGACAAAACTGCATAGCACAAAAAATATTTTGCTGTTTTTAACTTTATTTGAACCAAATTTTTTTATTTATTTTTATTATTAAGTAATATTTTAGGCAATACGAAAATCTTATTGATTATAACTCATGGAAATGAATTTTATTCGAAAAATGAGACATAACAAATTTACTGATTTTGATTTACCGCGAATTTGACAAATTGTACTCTTTAAACTTTTCATTTTTTTTTTGGAAAAAAAAATTATTTATTTTCAGAAAAATAAATAGACAAAACGATGAAAAAAAATTTATAAATGATCTCAAGGTTGATCAATTAATTCTTTTTCTTTCCAGGGATAATTAAAAAATTTTGCATGATACACTTCACAAATTAATGTAAAATTTGAATTCTTTTAAAAAGTAAGATATGGAAAGAAAATTTGCATAAAGCATTTTTAATTTGCTAAAATATTAAATTTTGATTATTTTAATTTCAGATTAATCATCCAATTGCAACAAAAAATAGTGTATTGGAAGGATCAACAGAAACGAGTCAAACTACTACTAGCAATTCATGGAAAAATGCTGGAAGAGAAAAAAATTTGACAACTCTCGATAATAAATTAAAAACGGAAGATTTAGGCTCTGTAATTGGTTTAATGGCTTATGGTAGTTTGAAAGATGACATTGATAATAATTTAAAGAGAAGGTATAACAATAGGTAAGTGCTTTTGATAAATTTCAATCTAAAAAAATTAAGTTTCTTTAGAAATGACCACTTCTATCTTATATTTACTTAAATTTTCTTTCAAAGAGTTTTAAAACTTTTTAAGCATTTATTGATGACAATTTAAAATAAATTAGAATCTGTGCATATACTTTTAATAAAAATTTTATTTGAAAAGTTGAGATGATCAATTTAAATAATAATTCCACTAGTTAGTACTAGTGGAATATCTATTTTCATATTCTGTTATTCATTCAGATATTATTGTTGTAGCAATAGGTTTATTATTGCATCTGTTAAAATTCTTAGATTAATTGCTCAGTGCATTTGTTAGCTAGCAGATAGCATTTCAATCAATGATCATTGTTTTAGCTTCAAATTTCAAGTAGTTCTCAAATAATTTACAGCAATTTCAGTGCTTTTCGACAACATGCTGGTCGCTCAATTACTGATTTCAATTTGCCATTATCGTCAACTTCCACTGATTATACGACAAATACTCAAGAAAGATCACAAATCATAGTGAAAAATCAAGATAATAAAATGAATAATAATAATAATAATAATAGTTTTAGCGAAGAGTTAATTGACATATATTCGGCAAAGTTTACTTCCGAAAGCACTGATAACGATCAGTTAGAGTTATCAGCTAGCATCGATGATACAACACTAACTGATATCGTTAATAGGAAGCAAAATATGAAATCAAGAAATCATCGATGCAAGGTTTGTGTGTGTTTTATTTTTAACATTTCATATGTGCATCAGAAAATAAAACTGCAATTACAGATTATTTTATTCTTTTCTACATTGAAATTTGTATATTGTGGAAATTAAGTATGTAAAAATGAGAATGTAAGATTTCAATATTTTATCCTTTACATAAGTAAGTAAAAATTAAAATATTCCAATATTTCATATTTTTTTTTTAAAATAATTCATTGATATGATCAATTTTTTTAAGTTAATTCAGCAAGAAATAAAACTACAGTTACAGATTTATTTTGCACTTTTTTTGCAATAGAATTTATTTAAAAAAAAAATATATCAATGATTAATTAAAAGGCAAAATATTGGAATATATAATATTGCATTTTATCTTTTACATAAGTAAAAATTAGAATATTCCAATATTTGATTCTAATAGAATTAAGCGAGTGAATATCAGAGTGTAAAATTCCAATATTTTATCATTTACGTAACTAAAAATTTGAATATCCCAATATCTTTTTAAATAATCCACTGATTACTTAAAAATTAAAAAGAAAATTGAATAAATTATAAATTATATAGTTTTACAATGCTTCTACTCCTGCATAATAATGAACTCTCAGTTATTTTATTAACAGAAATACATTTTTGATTTCAATATTTTTGGAAAATTTTAATTTACATATATTTTAAAATGTTAAATAAATGATGAATGATTGTAAAATTATATAAACACTTGCAATATTTATGTAAAGCTGTCTTTTCATTTTATAGAATAATCGAAATAATGGGACATTCACAGAAAAGGAAATGTCAACCGATGATGATGAATCATCGTCAGATGTGTCACCATCAAATAGTATGAGTTCAACAAAAACTACTGATACTTCCACTGAAGCAACAGCAAAATATAACTCAGCAAAAATCATTCAGTATGATATTTATTTTACTCTTTACTCATTTTTAAATTTAAAATTTAAAAATTTCAAATAATACCCATATTTGTAGCACAATTTACATATATGATTTTTCATTTCTTTAAAACAATATCAAAATAATTTTTTATTGTATGAAATAATTTTATGCATAATGGATAATTAATTAATTTGATCAACAAGAGTGTACAAGATATGCAAATTAATCAGAATATGTATTCATTTAGCATTGAATATTTGAGGATTTTTTTTTAATTCCAATTATTAGTTAATGATTTATTTGTTTATCTAGAAAATATGAAATTATTGTTATTTACAGAAATGAAATCGCGAATCATTCCGATAATCAACTGATAACTTCATTACCTAAAAGGACAACTCATACAAGTAAATGGATAAGAAGTGATATGATACAAAATGATAGCTATGTTAACACTCAACAAAATTCAAACTTTGAACGAAGCAAATTACAGCAACCAGATTCAGTTCCTGAATCGAATTCCGTTTCACGAACTTCGCCGTTCCGGCATACGCTATCATCATCGTCATCATCATTCACTCAAACAAATCGTTCTTTGTCAAATGAAAATATCGAGGAAAAGTTAGTCATTTGCATTAATTATAAAATTCGTCTATAATTGGCTTTAATTTTTGATGTATTTATTTTTTGATTCACCTGCAATTGCATAAATTTGAATTTTAACTTTTAATCAGTCAAAATTTTTTTGTTTTATTCTTAGTTTTTTTTTTTAAAAGAAATTTTTTTATGAAATCTAAAATAACATTGAAACAAGAGTATTTAATTTATAGGTGAAATTTACTAATTTATTGTTCACAAACTTATCCATCCTCAGTGCTAAGTAATCACTAATTTTATGAAAACTACCTCCGATCAATTTTAATATCCTTACAAGTAATTAAAAAAGATAGCAATTTTAAAATCTGATATATATATTTGCAGCAAATATCAGTATGCAAATTCGGTACATTCATCTGACTTCGAAATACCTTCTTACCTAAATACTATCCCTAAATCATCCTACAGGTACGATGTTTACTTGGGTGCTGTCAATTATTCCGAAATTAAAATTTTATTCTCAATAATATTCGATTACTGGAAAAACTAGAAAAATTCGAAATCGAATAGAACAAAAATTAAGATGAAACTTTTTACATAGTTGAATGTTTTTTTTTTTTTTTTTTCATACAACTTTTTTCGAAAATAACAAAACGTCAAATTAATTTATAGAATCAATTCTTTTTTAAAGTCTTAAGCACGAAAAGAATCCTTTTAGGCTTATTTATTTTGCTAATGAAGAAAATCCTATAATTTATAGACAAAGCTGACTAATTAAACTTCAGAATTGATCAATTTAAACTAAATTAAAATTATTTCAACAATAATTTCCTTTTTGCAGTCAACAATTCACTTATGAGACATCACAAGAATGGATATGTCCACAACAAATCAATAATATCAAGAAATGGTCACCATCATTAATACAAGAAAGAACAAACAGCACACAAACTCATACAAATTCGAAATTAACACAACACTTCAGGATTCTACCGGAAAATGTAAAAACTCATACAAATAGTAATAATAGTATATATTCCGAATCAACACAAACCAATAGGATTCTACCAATATATCAATTAGAAAACATACCAAAGAGATTTTCAAGTGAGACTAATGCAGTCAAATGCATGTCGAAATCATTTCATCAAATTGATGAAACCGCAAAAATTTCATCAATTCATCAATCACAAAAATATCCATGTATTCATTCAATACCAAGTGAAACAACAAGTGCATCAGATGCATCTAGAACATATTGTATGGATTTTCAAACATCTCTACCATATAAATCTATTGAAAATGAACAAATTAGTAAATCTGAACAATGTATCGAATCGTATCCAAGAACGAATGAACAATTTATTCATTCAGAATTATCATCAGAAATAGCACAAACAGAAGAATCAAGTTTAATGGAAGGTTTGAAAATGAAAATAGTACTGATACCAAGGCAATATCAATTATCACATAATGATACTACAGAAGATGAAGAATGCTACAGTGATCAAAAAATTGATCAATACGAAAGCATATCATCTTTTAATTCATCAGCAACAAGCATAATTTATGAAAGTAGCCATGATTTAACAACATTTAAATCATAACAGCATTATCTTTTTTTTTTTTATTTATCTCATCAGTGAATTTGAAATGATTGTTGACTGGCAAATATTGATTAGCAATATTAATTGTTTGCTAAAAAAAAAAAAAAAATCAACTATATAAATATTTAATATTATTTAAAAGTGAATGTTGAAGATGAAATCATAAAATATTTTAAGACTGATCAATTTGTCGTATTGCTAATCAATGCTAATAATTTTTATAGTAGTGCAATTGTGGGAATTATTATGGAAGATTATTTTAACAAAGCTTAAAAATTATCATATCATTGTCATCTCGTATTTCTCATTTACTATCAAAGCATTTTAAAAAAGAAAAAAAAAATGAAGAAATAAATAAGTTATATTTGTTATTGATTACTGTTTCTTCATATGACAATATTTTATTCATATATCCATTATAAATATGTAATTTACATTTGTATACCAGTGAATAAATATTATGAACAAAACAGAGAAATTTCACAAAAATGAAAGAGATATCATGAAGAAAGGAATTACAAAAAGGAAAACAAGTGTTATCCAATCGCAGAAACATTTTTAGAATTGATAGAGAATTGCCATAAATCAACTTCTATGTCTACTGATTGTCGTTGATGATATGAGTATGTTGCGGGTAAATTCCAACGTAGTTGTGCAATGCAGTCAGCACTAATATCGGGTAACTTTTGGGCAACAAATTTAGCAATATATTGCCTTGTACTACTTTTATGCAACGAGAAAAGTTTTCCATTTTTCTTTAGAATCGATAAACCTGCTTTGACAAATCGCAAATCCGTGCCTGAAATCATGAATAAAAAATGACTGTTTTCATTATCATTTCATTATTCTTATTCAATGATCTCCCTTTTTGAACATCCCATCAATAATAAGAAACATAAAAATCAATTTTTAAGCTTTTTAAAAGCCAGTTTCTAGTTTAAATTAAGTAACAATTCTGGTAGTGTATATGGTGATAATAAAGTAACGTACAATTAATAAAAATTATTTAATCTAATAAAAACTTTCTCAAAGTCTTACAGCAGTAAAAGTAAATTTCAAATATATCATTGTAGTCACCTAGAGCTCGATTGAGAACTTTCTTACCCAAAGCAGTTAATGTTAGCCATTAATTGTCGCAAGAAAAAAAAACTTACAATATAAGTATAACTTAATTATTATCAAAAATACATTAAATGACCAATTCTGATAATCTCTAGCAATAAAATATTATAGCAAAAAAGTATATTCAATATATTTAAGTTATGCATGAAAAAATTACCTGCGTTATTTTTGGTACCAAAGGGTGGATTCATGATAACAGTATCAAAAATGGGCTTTAAAGCACTGATATTCTTTGTAACATCCAAACAGATCACATCAACAACATTACCCAAATCACAGCGCTCAATATTATTTCGACAAATATTGATTGCTTCTTCATCAATTTCAATACCTAATCCATAACTGAAAATGTCTAAATTGTATTTTTCTTAATAATATTTTCCATTTTTTTTTTCATAATTACAACTCGTTTGAGATATCTGTACCATTCCTATATCTTACATGTAACTAGTTTTTTTTCGACTTTTATATAGACTATTTTATTTTTAGATTTTCAAATTTATGTATAAATATACCTTGCACCAAGTTTAACAGCTCCTAGAAGTAATATACCAGGACCACAACCCAAATCCGCAACAGTGCAACCGTCAATACATCCTTCCTCTGCAACTGCATTCAATATTGCTTCTGAAAAAAAACAAAAACAAATTATCAGTTTCAATTTCAATTGAATTTGCAGAATTACAAGCACAAGATTTCCGATATAATCTGAATTTCTTTTTTTTTCAACGATGAACATGCTCATGCTGCCATGAATCCGTAATTGAGTTCCGTATGAGATGCTAGAACTTTCAAAGAAAAACCGGAAATTCTATTTGTCAATCAACCCGATGGTTAATATTATCAATGAAGTAATATAGGTGAAGATATCTGTGATCATAATTTCGAGATTTAATTTTTTGCAATGCATTAAGCTGTTCAATTAAAGTATTATGAAAAGTAATAATATCTCAAGGCATATACTAAAGTGTACGAAATATCTTAAAATATCCCTCAAAATAAAATGACATGTGACATGAAACATTCATTTAAACAGTATCAGTTGTTCACCAAAATAGCTTTTCTGGTTCATAAAGATAAATAAAAGTATATGTTAGCAAAATTTTCAACCGTATAAATAAACATTTACGAACTGTCCCAAATGACAAAAGTTAAGGTGACAAGAGATAACAAAATTCTCAAATAACCCAATTTTTTTTAATCAACTAATAAAACAAATAATGCCTACCTGCTAGTTCAACACTGGTTGAGTATTGTTCCAATTGCAGTTTGAAATTTTGAAATGTTTCAATTTGCGACAGGAAACATTCCAAATGTTTCTTTTTCATATTTTAATAATGATTAATTAGCATCTGTTCAATTGATGTCACGAAATAAACTCCTAGAATTTCGAATTAATAATTTTAAGAAAATGCATTTATAAATTGCATTATCGTTCACATAAACTAAACGGGAACAAGATTAAAGTACAGCTTTATTTATTATTTCTTTCTTCAAAGGATTCACATTAAAAATTCTTAATTCATATTTCTATCAATTTTTTAAACATATAAAATTTAAACAACAGTATCTTTACTTTCTCTAAAGCTATTCATAATTCTCAAGACCAAACAATTTGCAAATACTTCCTCTTTTGGCCTTTTAACTTAAGAAGTTATCTTAATGCCTAACCATTGCAAATGAACGGTGCAATGATAGTTTAAACTATTTTATCAACTACAATCAAAAGATGCAAAAAAGACATTTTAGTTGGAAATTTTAATTATCTTTAATGAAGTCTGACAAATATTAGACATTGACATTAAAAATTAATTAGATTACAAAAAAACTCGTTGCCGAGGAAATTAAAAAGAAACATGTATTGAAAATCAAAAGAAAAAATCAAGCGAAATAACGCGAAATGAAAGATTTTAATGTATTATATAATTCATAATGAAATGAAAGTGCATTTCAAGTGTGTATTTAAATTAAAATACATTGTAAACAACACACAAATATTAACTGAGTTTAAAATTTTTAGCAAAAGTAAAATGAGCATTTACTGGATCAACCACTTTATCAATCCATAATGCACACTTTTGTTTTTGTTTTGTTTTTGCTATCACAACCATTTCCAACAACAATAACAACAACAATAATAATAATAAAAATAATAATAATAAGAGCAAAATGCAGCATTATGATACAGAAAGAATAAAATAGAAAATTTCAATTTTAGAAAATTTCGTATTATCATTGTTAAGATAATATGTAGGATTCAGGAAATGAAAGACATATTGTACTGACTGACTGTAAAACTGCACTAGTATAAGTTTAGCTAAACAAAAGCCTTATTTCCCAACTGTCTAATATAAATTCCAAGATAAAGTATCTAAAAAAAGGAAAAAAAATCTAAGAAAGAAACAGAAAAATAAAAAAAACTATCGCAAAAGAAGATCAAAAAATACTCCTTCACTCTTTTAATCTTTTCATTTCATCCTGTTTCACTATGAATTTTCCAGGAAACAGGAAAAACAAAGAGAAAAGAAGATGAAATACACAAATAAGACCCATAGAATATAATTTAAAAAACAAATATATAGAATGTATGATAACAGAATGTAAATAGAAAGTTGGAATGCAGAAAAATTTAGGATCTAAAATAAAAAAAAAAAAAACAACCATTACATGAATATTGTAATGGTTGTATACTGACTACATAGCTATAAAACAAAAAAATATTAAAATAGCATCATAGCAATTCTATATTTTTCAAAAAATATACATCAGAATAACTATGTACAAAAAGCCCAGAAAAATTATAATTCACCGTAAAAAAAAAAAAAAATCCCAGCTAAGTTTGACATTTCAAGAGATAATGAAATCACAAAAAGGAAATAAGAGGTGAAATATGAAAGGCAATGACATGAAAAGCTCATAATTTTAATTCTTGGATTCTAATAATTTTTGAAATATTAATGAAAAATTCATTTTTTATTTGTCCAATAATTTTTTAATTTCAAAATTCATGTAAAAAATGAAATTTCTTATTGCTTTCATCATGTTCCATTTCATAAGATATTTTAAGAAATTGTTATAAATATAGAGAATATATAGCAAATTTTCATAGATGGAAATAAGGAACATTTCAAAATTAACTAGTGAAGTAAATTACTGCTAAAAAGACTTGGTACTTTCTTGGAATCCTAACTTCCCTTAAAGTGACTACATTTTTTGTAAATGAAGAAATTAAGGCACAGTATCAATCAAAACTATCTACGAGAGACGGATGATTGTTGCTGCGGCTGCATTGATGGAAATCGTCTGAACTCTTTCAAAAGATATTCTACTGTTTGTCCTTGCATAATCATATTATAGGCAAGATGCGAATTGCTTTGAACACCGGTTGGTTTTTCTTTTAATTTTTTATTAGTAGCTTTTCCTTTTTTCGAATTATTTCCCTTTTTGTTATCACTACTAATCTCGTTAGTGCCACTGCTGAAGAGAGATGGACCAAACATAATTGCTAAATTGTGAATTTCCATCCGATTTTTATCTGCATGATTTGCAACTCTAAAAATACCAAGATACTTAAAAAAAAAAAAACTTGAAATCAGTTATAATTTAATTAATGAATGATACAAATGCATAAATATTACATCTTCTGAGTGATTTCCTCAACGTACTGGTTAGTAAATAAAGTTTCAATACTCTAAAATGCATGCTACAACATAAATGATATGTAAAATGGTGTTAAACTCGAGCAATTGCAATTCAGGCATATTTTCAACTCAGGTAATACTATTTTAACTAAGAAAAGGAAAAGAAAATTGAATCACCGTATAAGATGTCCGAAAAGAACCTTGAGCGTTTCTCGATTAATCAACGGTAGTTTATTTAATAAATCATCAAATGCTTTTAATTTTCCTTCTCCTTTAGGTAGTCCTGAATTTCACATTTGAGTGAATCAGTAAAAGATGATGGTGGAAAGAAATATCTATAACTCATAACTGTAACAGATAACTTACGGTTGGCGTAAATGAAATCCTTAGCCAGATTAGATGGAAAAATTGGCTCTGATAATTCACGAAAGAACAGTTTTAAAGCTCCTGTTAAAACATGAACATCATCTTCTGCCAATAAAGCAACATATTTTTCTGAAATTTTAATGCTTAATGAATTATGCATTTTCATTAGGTCATTCTCTATCGAAATACTTAACTATGCAGAAATAACAATAAATAGCAGTACTAAAACAATTTGGTAAAATATTGATATTATTTCTTCAAAAAAAAAAAAAAAAAAAAAAAAAAAAAAAAATGGCTTACATCTATGCAAAGTACTGGATGCCGGGAAAGTCTTTTAAAAAGGATACGATAAAACTTATACTTCAATTTATAGCAATTACCTTGATCAACCTGACATCGAATCCTTTGAATTGATGAAAGATTACCACTAACTCGGTAAAGACCATCTGTATCGAGACCTTTCGATTCGACTACTTCTGTAACCAATTGAATGAAACGTGGAACTGTCGTCTGTTCATGATGACAAATAGCAGCCAACGTACTTCCGAAAACAGGTTCCGCTATAAAATATAATACAAGAAGCTTTGGAACATTTATATCTGATTAAGCTTAAAATTTAGAGTGATTACATCTCTATAACATAAAGATTGAAGTATTGTTCCACAATATTTGGAGCATTATCCATCATTGTTATTATCATCACTTATATAAAGAGCTACTTTTGATCAATAGTGATGCTTAGAATATCATATGCCCCTTCCTCAACTTATATGATCATTAGAAAACTACGTCCATTGATCAATGGTGAACGATTTAGTCTATCAAAGAGAAGGTCATCATAAAATTTAGTTCAGATTATTAGGTATATCACAAAGGATGAGTAGCTGTGTTTTAGCTGCTGTTATAATTTCAACAGTACATCACTGTTTGTAACATCAAACTCACCTACATATATATATATATATATAAAACGTAAATTAAAAAAAAAAGTAAATAAATGATATAAATAGTAGAAAATACTAACGCTTATAAATGCCTTTCTCCTTCAAACTTTCTATGGATGGTCGTGATCGAAAAAACCGTTTTAATTTCTCAATGATAGATTCACGTGTTAGCCTTGCTTCTTCAATATCAATACGCTTTTTTTCATCACCTGTTACCGCAACCTCAAGACCTAAAATAATAGGATAAAATGGACAAAAAACATTTGTATGTGTCTTTCAGGAAACTTTTTCAAAAAATTCCGATTTTTAGTATGCATCAAAATTTAACCTTTTCCTGAGATTTTTGATTTTTTAAAAGAACGTCGAGTTTGTCCGATACTAAGCGACCTTGAGGAATGTGACAAATTGCTTGGATTTCGTATTAAACCAGTGGAAGTTAAACCTCTCTCTAAAACCGGTGTTGGATACGCATCAGGAAGTGGCTAAAAAGTTAGCATCCCATTAATCATGAATGAAAGTCAACAATGAAAATTTCCAGCTACTATATATCTTATATTTTTTAAAAATTCTACATTAAAACTAAAACCAATCCACACAACATTTTTACTTCGGCATTTAGCAGGGCTCAACACAACGAAGCTATAACTGATCAGTTTAATTACTGTGCTAATATGACAGATATGGAAAATATTCAAGTAAAAAAAAGAAGAAAAAAAGCAATCCATTTTAGAAAAATTTTAGACGTACCAATTTTGATACGACTTGACGCATTGCATGGAACCATCCATTCACATCCTGCGTATCTGATGTACTGAAGTAATAAATCGTACCATCTGTTAGTCCAAGCTTTAATATCATACAGTTATTTGATTTGTGATATGTTGAAAATTTAAGTCGTACATGATGATAAATTGGCACCTCACTAAGACGAATGCATAAGAATCAAGAAATCGATGTTCATGAAATTGTTTTGTAAACTGCTCGAAACATAAGAGGGAAATGGAAGCAGATGACAACTAAAGCATATATACTTACTTGAAAAATGTGTTTCCTACGTTTATCTTTTTCATTCGCCCATTTTACGCATGCACCTCGAAGATCACACATACCCAATGGTGCCTCATAATGACGACCTGATTTCTATAAAATCATTTCAATGAAATCAATTCATGTTATGCAACAGTTTGCTCCAAAGATTTATTTAGATGCCCGCTTAAAAATTTTATATTTGCATAAACAAAAAAGCTTACTTCGGCACTTCGTTCATCTTTGTAAAATATAATATGAGCTGAAGAAAGAAAAAGATAACAGGATGTCCATTCTTTCTTTTTAAGTCGTATTCCTGCATCTGCTATCTTACACTGAAAAATTTACTAAGTTAATATAAAATAAAAAAAGCATTTTATAAATAGCACAAAGAGAGAAGGGAAAAAGAGAAGTAAAGAAAAAGGAATGAATTAAAGGATTTTAAGCGAATTGTTTCAAAAATCTCAGTGGTGAAATAGCAACATCTCATCAATTTCACTGGGTTATTGGTATCGAGAATAAATGATCACTTAACTAATAATGATACTGCGACTGAATATAGGAAAAAAAAAGTATTATCAAATGCAATAATCAGTTCATTTAATTTATTAACTTGTAAGTTATAAATAAATTGAAAAATTTAATGTTTGCTACACAGCAATACTTTTTCGACTTATTTAAAGTTTTTGGAAATATTTAGGTGTGCTTCATCTTATCAGTAGTGTTCCTACATCAGCGACTAAATATGTGGATTAGGATTAGTAGGAATAAAATGCAAATTAAAACAAATAAGCATTAAGAAGGAACACAACCATTCTTAACATTGAAATAAAATTATTTATGCAGTTATGCAGTTGCCAACTCCAATTATCAATATAATATAAACCTTTTCCACTGTTCCACATTTGATCGATTTCTGCGCAATATTTCTGGAAGGCAGGCGATTAGGATAATTACTGGAACACGGTTCAGTGCCAACACCTTTGGAAACTGCAAAATGGAAATGATGTTTCATTTCGAAAATAAAATAAGCGCCAGGAATATAGCTTACACAGCAAATAACGAAAGCAGCAACAAGATGTATCAGAAAATAATACTTAACTTGTTTTAATTCGGAAGGAAAAAAAAAGTAATTTTTCAATTCGAATGTTGTCAACATAAAATTATTTCCAGATTTTTGAAGCGAAATTCACCTAAATGAATATTCTTATCAATACCAATTTCCTCGTTTGATTTATGTGAATATAAATGTCCAGTAGCTTGAAGTTCTTGAGCTATCGTTTGCACCGACATTCGTTTTTCCGTAATTTTGTTACGTAAACTTAATGTTGACCAAACTGCACTTGACTTACTATTCTCATCGCTATTAACATCGGGTTTTGCCTAAGCAACAAAAATTATATAAAACAACATATTCTGATTATTACATGATTACAGTATTACAGCTAAAAGCAAGTTCAGGAATTTTGTAAAAATAAAATAAAAAAATGCATAAACAGCACTTTTTGAGATTAAATTTATATAAAAATTTCGAGATTAACACACATTTACCAGAAGAATATAAAAGTTAATTAAATTTAACTAATCATGCAATAATGCAATTTTATGTTATTTACACTTAAAAATGACTACGAATACATGATGTAACCTGTCATAGCAAGTACTCACAAAACAAACAGCAGATATAGTTGGATGAGATTCCAAGCATGATTCTGAAATATCTTCACAAGATTCTGCTTCACTATGGAGCGGAATATTTTGCTGATTACTCAAGCCATTATCAATAACTTCCAAAGGTGGTTTCAGAAAACGTGGTGGTTTCCAGTGACAATCACCTGTTTCATGATTGTAAAAATACGATCTGCAAGGAAACAATAAAAAGAATTTATAAAATTTTGTGAAATTTCATCCTAGATCTCAACATCACTTGTCGATATGCTTTTGATCTAACCAATATTGATATTTAGTTTGGTCTCAAGAAAACAATTTTATTCATAAAATCATTTCAAATACAATTTATGAGAATATCAAACCTTCCAGCATCTGTGAGATACTCATGCCAACCGCTCCCAACATTGCGAATTGCTTCATCAACAGAATCTGGAATTGGTGGCTGTCCTTGTCGGCGACTTTCTTCTTCCATTTCTTGAACATTTGCATAGATATGCTCATCATCATTTGCTGATCCTTCTTCGATGGTACTTCGTGAATCATTCATTTTTGTTTGGTCAAACTAAGAAGTACCATAATTATAAATCATAAAACTTCCTATTATGTGAAAATAAACTGTTTCAAATGCCGGAAAAGAAATACAAATCTGGCCACTGTAGCAAAGAGTTCTAATTCTGATTCATTTATTCTATAATATGCAGAGATGCAATTACTGTATCTAATAGCAAAGAAGAGAAATACGCAACCTTAGTTATAATTCATCCGTTGACAAGAGAAAATTAAGTTTATTCATAATATTTTGCTATGCAGCCTATCACAATTGTAATTCAATCAACATTATCCACCACACAATAACTACAACAATTACAAAAGAATTCACAACATAACCCACTCAGTAGCATCAAACTATGCAAATGATCGAACAATTGGATCATTCAGAAAATTTTTTTTCCGATCAAAAATTACAAACACTATAATTTAATGTAACATCCGATCATAAATCATAAATCAATTGAAGTCCAATCAATTGTAATGACAATATGAATTCGTTGTGCTAAATTTTCTTATGTAATATATAACTTATTTTTTTCAAAAATTTCATTTGGCACATGCTACAAATTTTTTTTTTTTTAATCCACAATACATAACTTAATGTGTGATTCATTTTTTTTCATTTTTTTTTTTTTTTTCTTTTTTGAAAACAACAATTTAGACATAACATTTTCAATTTCAAAAAACAAAAAACAGAGAGAAAGAGAAAAAAAGAAAACATACCTGATTGTTAACATTATCAAATAATAAATTCTGCTGCAAATTAACACTGTAAACACCACTTGTCATTCGGATATTTCAACTAATTTTGTTCAGTCGATGATGAGTACAGCATTCATGCAATTCTCGACAAGAAAATATATCATCCTGAAATTTTCGGGGAAATAACCCATGCATTTACCCATAATTATTAGCCACAAATATTAAATGAAACATTTATGATTTGAGAAACTTCACGCAAATAACTAAAATTGACAAACGCGGTCCGCCCAAAAATATAACAGAATTTTTGCGGCCGTTTTGAAAAATTTTTCCATATTTCAGTTTTATTAATTTTTTTTTTTTTATTGAACCTGGAGATTTTTCCAGTTTTCATAATTGTTTAATTTATTAAATTTCTAATTAAAAATTCCATTTTTGAAGAAAAAAAGAACGGAAAAACTTTTTTTTCTTCATTTCAATTTAGCTTTTTTTTTTCTCCACGCAGTTTCTTCTTTTTTTGTTGTTCTTTTCATCAACTTTTTTTTTTTTTTTTTTTTTAGAATCGATTGAGTTTTGAAATTATTTACAATCAAACATTTTGAGTTATCAATAATTTCCACACAATATAAGAGCATCCATTCTCAATTATTTATTGAATCCTTGAATAAATGAAAGACTACTTCTTTTCTGATAAGCGTAAAGGACTGAGAGAGAGAGAGAGAGAGGGAAAGGGAGAGGAAGAGAGGAAAAGAAAAGAACCTGAAAGAAGTATAAAAATTATTCTTTTTGTTTACTTCTATCATTTTATCTCCTTAATCAGAAAAATATTATTTACTTAAGATGCATTTTTTTCTTTTTTTTTTTAGTTCTTGAAACAGCATTAGCATTCCATTAGCATTCTTTTGATATATCGTAATAAATACAACCGGTTTTATTCCATTAAAAAAAATACACTATCTAACCAACTTTTTTCCTCTCTCACCCTCTCTCTCTCTCTCTCTTTCTTGACCAAAAAGGAGATAGAGAGAGAGAGAGAAATATTCTAAATTTTTTTTTTTTTTTTTTGAGAATAAAAATTTATTAAAGTACAGTAAAAGGCATACATTATTTGCTAAAAATTTTCCTTCTTACAGCAATTTTATATAATTTACCACTTTAAATTGCTATAAAAAACAATAATTTCATTTCATTTTTTTTATCAGTGAAAGTGCTTTCTTTCTTTTTTTGTTGTTGTTGATGTCATTAATAAAGAAAAAAGAAAGGAAAGATTTGAACAATTAATGTTTTTTTTAGTAACATTCAAAAGTGCTTATATTCATTAGCATAGAATTTATTTAAAATAGATCGATATTTATAATTTGAAAGTAGTGATTACTCCATAAATTAAATCATTGATTGCAGATAATTTAAAAGTGAGAAAATGTCGACTAACAATTATAATTTGAAATAACAATTACTTCAGATGAACCATAACTTGCAATTTTTTTTTCCTTTTTTTTTTTTTTCTCGATATATTTAATTCAATGTGTTATTTATTTTCGTATGATTGTGGGAGAAAATTATGTAATTTCCACTGATAATATTTATTATTTCTTATTAGAAAGTATTTTCACATTTTCACTCTTTTTTTGTTCTATCAAATATAAAAACTTGAAATTCAAGTATTCTCTCTCATTAATAGCAGACATTTATTCAGGTTATATCTATATTCCATCTCAATTTTAATTAGTTATTTGAATTGTGCTATATATGAACTGGTTTTTATCATTACTCACTTTCTGAAACTTTCACCAGAATATGATGGGTAAATTTTTGATTTTTGTCATTTTCAATGGTTTCTACTGCATGTCATCAATAAAAACTATAAAAATTCATTTTTCTTTTTTTTTTTTCCTTTTGCTTTTTATTTTACATTAATATGCATCAATTTCTATTTTATATTTTATTGATATCATCATTTGTTCTTTCTTTCGTTCATATCACTAATCAATTCTCATGATTTTTATCAGTTTTCATTTCATTAAAATTATTTCAAATTTTCACTAAACTTGATAAGATTGTTGATAAGATTTAAAAAGACAAATAAATATGATTCATAAATAATTGATTGTAACAAAAGATTGTTGTAAAAGATTATGCAACTTTGTATAATGATTATTTTGTTTCAAATTTTCTTTTGTTCTTCTTTCTTCCTGCTCTAGTTTTTCTTTTCATTACAACACATTTAGAATTTTTATCTCTTTGCTGATTCCTTTGTTAATAATTCACAAAGAAATTGAAAAAAAATACGATCAAAATTTGTAATTTTATTAAACTTTCCATTTTAAATTCTGTTTTTTTTTTTTTAATCCTTTTCATCGTACTTTTTTGCTGTTTTTGAATCTATGAATAATTTATGTTCTGTTGAGATGGAAATTTTTTTTGATATGAAATATCTTGTTGAATAAATCATTTTGGAATTTTTCCGATTATTTCTTATCTAATGATTTATGATTGAAGTTAATAAAGAATCTGTTACAATACACGTTTGGTATTACTTCCAAAACTTTTCACGTTAACTTACATGTTAGCTGTTTTTTTTTCATTGTTTTTTTTTAAAGTCGAAACTACTTCCATTTTTTTTTTTTTTTCAAAAACGTAAATGTTTACTTACTTTAAGTGGCTAATAAATAGTTTCTAATTTTTTTTTCAGATGGCCGATCATATGAAATTATTTAATTTTTTAAGTCAACAAACAGATAAAGAAGTTGTGATAACTGATGCTAAAGGAATGTCATCTCATTCATCAGCGAATAATATTCAGGATAAAGTTTGTGAAGTGGAAGAAATCTGTCAAACAAATGTGTCAAACGATCACAAAAAAGGTCCTTATTGCATTCTGTTACGAAACTTCAATATTTCTTAAAGAGAATTTCAATTGAATCAATTTTGATTGTATTGGTAGAACGGATATAGACAGAGCTGAAATGCGTATAAAAATACGTGAAATACTAGTACTTGATACGTATATGTTCGGTAATACTAGTAGCATTATAGCATTATACGTAAAATCCTACATATTTGTTAGAAAATTTGTCCTAAGCTTAAATTCTATAACTGCCCAATTAAATTCATCGAAATGAGTTGTTAGTTGTATTGCGGAAATTTTGACATCTTATCCCATCACAGAATAAGATGAATTATGGATGAGATCAATGGCACTTTTTTTATTTGATATTAAGTTGGCTCAAATTTTTTCTTCAATTTTATCTGGTAAATTTAAATCGAAGAATTATTATATACGAAGAATTATACATATATATATATAAGTTATTTTTTTTGACAGCCTTCTTTTTTTTGTTTGGTTTCTTGATCTCATATTTTAAAGTTATGTTCTGTTTTTATATCAGTGACTAAATTTTTTTCTTTTTCCTTGAAAAATGTTCAAGTTTTCTCTTTCAGATAATGAAAAATATTTGAATAAGAATCCAATAACCTCGAAATTTCAAGAAGCAATAATTGAAATCAAAGGGATGACATGTCATTCATGCGTAAATAATATCGAGGAGACTATTGGAAGAAACAACGGCATAAAATCAATTTCCGTTTCACTTAATAAATCTCAGGGTTATTCATTACAATTTGCGATTTTCTAGATCGAAATAAAAAATTTTTTGTAATAAGTAACTCAAAATAAGAACAGTCTAACTTCATTTAATTGCGGAAATTTAGAAAATGTTTGAGAAGTGAAAATTTTGCATGCAAAAATGCTAAGCTAATCTTGAATGAAACATTTACTGCTTTTGCTTCTTTGCTTCACAATTAAATTTTTTTGTTAAAATTTTTTGTATTTCCTTTGATTCCAATTCAGTTTTTTAAATCATTTAAGGGCGAATTGTGTACGACACTTCTAAATGGAACATTCAGATGGTTGTTGAATTGGTTACTGATATGGGCTTTGACGCGCAACTACTACAAATTCAAGGTTTTCTTTCCTGTTTTTCAAATTTTTAACGTAAAATCCACGAACATAATTATCAAATTTTAAGTGGTGTAGTTGTTTACTATTTACTACTTCTTTTTTTTTTTGATATTACTAGGCAGAAAGCTAGTTTATGCAGAAAATTTCGAAAATCACACAAATATGGCATATTTTTTTCACTATGCTATCATCTAGATGCATAAAATGTATACAGGAGCAGAAGAAAATTGAGAAACTCTTTTAAAATAATGTAGATTCTCTAAACTATTAAAGTCTAGTTTATTCTTGAAAGGAATCAATGACATTTTTTCCAAAGATAGCTTATTTTTGAAATCTTCACTGAAAAGTCTGAAATTATGCTCTTCAAAATAGTCATGCTTTTTTATGCCAGCGTTATGTTTCAGATTATTCCGAAGAAAAGTTAACTGATCAGTCTTCATCAGTTTTATTTAAAAATGATGATGGCGTATGTAAAAGTGAGGAATTCACGGTTAAAATTGGAAAAAAAAAGGCGAAATTTGGACCGACAAACGATGATTCCATCGAGAAACGAACGTTTTCCGTGGAAGGAATGACATGTGCTTCATGTGTTGCATATATAGAACGGAATATTGGAAAATTGAAGGGTTTTGTTATTTTTTTTTGATATTGATAGTTAGGAAAATTGATTAAAAAGAAGCATTTTTGGTTCATAATTTTTATTTACTAAAAAAATTACAGGTTTAATTGTGTAATGTAATATTTTATTGATTAATAGGCGAAAATTTCAAAAAAAAAAAATTTTTTTTTTGATTTCTTTTGCAGTCTTAATTTTAATCGAAAATTAACTCACAGTTCTATGAATTTTCACATCATTTAAATAAGTTAGAGCTCAAAGATTGAAGAACAATTTTATGAGAAATATGAAATTGCAGGTGTGCATTCTGTGGTCGTAGCTTTGATGTCATCAAAAGCGGAAGTGGTATATGATTCATTGGTAATCGCTGCCGAACATATAGCTGATGAAATTAGTATGCTTGGTTATCGAGCTACGATAATCGATGATGGATTTAGAAATCATTCTGTGTTAAATTTGTTAGTAAGTATTATCTAAATACAATTGTATTAGTTGATTATCTTAAATTTT